TAGAATGGGCAGAAATGATGAGCTGCACAGAAAAACCTACTCAAGGAGGGCTTCTTCATTGCCCATGAAATTTTCCACGGAATTTCAACCCAATATTAGGGTTCGGGTGTGAACCAGGGTATGGTTAGGGTGCGGAAAACTAGGTGTCCTGGCGTGATTCTGATGGTTGGAATGTGTTTAGCATGGGCAGAAATGATGAGCTACACAGAAAAATCTACTGAAGGAGGGTTCTTCATCATTGTCCTACTTTCCATGGAATTTCAACCCTATGTTAGGGTTAGGGACCCCGAGGGTGTGGAATGGGCTTCCACGGGAGGTGGCTGAGGCCCCATCGGTGCGGGTGTTCAAGGACAGGCTGGACATGCACATGGTGGGCATGTCGTGAGCGGAGCCGGCTGGAGCCGGGGGTCAGACTAGATGGCCCGGGAGGTCCCTTCCGACTCGCTCTGCTTCTGTGTTTCTATTGGCCCACGGTGGCATTCACATACTTCATGCATCTGAGGCAATCTATGGAAGGCGATAGCAACTTCAGCTCTTTGCACTCACAAAGCACAAGTCCCGTAATGAAGCCATGGTCCGATTACGGTCTCCCCCTCTGCCACGCTCACTAAAAGCTTGTGTGTGAGAAGCAGAGTGTGTCAGGGCATGAGGTCTCCTCTCAGCCTTGCTGATGCGGGGAAAAGCCTCCAACACCAACGAGGTGAGTAATTCTGGGGATGGACACAGGATTTCCTGAGGATGTGCATGAGCAGCAGGGAGGGGGGAGCGCTGCCCCAAGCGGGGGGGAGGTTGAGGCAGCCTCAGGGGCCGTAGTTCTGCACCGTGGGCCTGCTGCTCCTTCAGAGACGGAGAACCTCTGAGAAGGGAACAACAGAAGGGGCCACAGCCCTTGAAAAGTGGCCGCACGGTGCGCTCTCAAGCCTACTCTGCATTCCCGCTCAAAGAACACCCCATTCATCACTTTCAAGCAGAAGTGGCTCGCTTGCCGTGTGGGACAAAAGGAGCAACAATGGCTGAGTCTGCAGCCAGCCAGCCAGCCGCAAACTGACACATTGGCTCACTGTTCCAGCTCACTGGGGAAGAAAGGAATTTCTGTATAAATCACACCAACCATCAGGTTTCTCACTTCCTGTCCACAGGACTTCCCGACTCCCCGAACACAGCAGAATGAAGGGACTTTTATATATATATTTTGAAAAGTGGGAGAAGAAAAAACATCTAAAAAGTTTTAAAAGAGTCTCTTTCAGCTAATAATGAAGTGAACAGTATATTAAGAAGGAAAACATTCAGCATTAACTTTGGAGGAGAAAGACAGAAAACCTTTTCATAATGCCCTGGCCACAAAACAACAACTGCCAGTTAAATCGGCTCCATTCCCCGGTTACTGCCAACACAAACTCAGGGGCAGGCCTACGAGAACGTTTGAACTAGTGTCTTCCCCTTTTCCCACCCCACTAATATAGATATATATTTTTAAAATACTCAGGAAGACTGAAGGTGCCAGCCATAAGCTTCATGGCACCACTTCAGCTGGCGCCAGAGAGTAAGCGGTCTCCATTCTGAGCTCCAGACATGGCAGTGGAATTATGAACAGAAAGCTGCCCGCACCCTCTCGCTTCACGCCTTAGTGCGCCTTTGCTAGGGGCTGCTGGTCAGACCGTCTAAGAAACCCTCACAGTCACTGCACTTACACCCGTGCAAATGGTGTCTGAGCCCTTTGCTCACAAAAACCGCCATGGGTGAGGGAGAAGCACTGGGAAGAGACGCTCTTCTGGGACGAAGCTCCAGTGTACTGATGTCCACCCAGGGATGGCAATCTTGGGTGGGAAACAGAGCTCTCAAGTATGCAAACTGTCGTTTCACACGCCGCCTAATTATAATCCTTAAAGGTAAAGGTTTCCTCTTGACGTCAAGTCCAGTCATGCCTGACTCTCGGGGGCAGTGCTCATCTCCGTTTCCCGGCCGAGGGAGCCAGTGCTTGTCCGCAGACAGTCTCCGTGGTCATGGGGCCGGCATGACTAAACACCGAAGTGCACGGAACACTGTGACCTGCCCACCAAAGTGGCACCTTTTTATCTACCTGCATTTGCATGCTTTCGAACTGCAAGGTTGGCAGGAGCTGGGACGGAGCAACGGGAACTCACCCCGTTGTGCAGATTCGAACTGGCAACCTTTCGATCAACCAGCCCAGCAGCACAGCGGTTTAAACCACTGAGCCACCTGCAGTCCCTATAATCCTTGGGACAACCCAATCAAGCCAGCTGGTATTAAACTCCGTGTTCCAGATGAAGGAACTGCAGCTGTGCAGGCCTATTCAGAGCTGTGTTGCATGATGGCTCAATAAACCTCCATGTTCACTGGCTGCCTGTCAGTTCCTGGAGGAAATCAGCTGCTTTCACACGCCGCTCTACACAGGCTTCTATGGCCCGTGAGCTGCAGTCACTCGCTTAATTCTCGGTGCTGCGAATGGAATGGTCAGCTGCGACTCACTGTGCTTCCTGAAGCCACCAGATGTGGCTGACAGGCAGAACATCAAGACACACATGCCCTCAGGATGTTGCCATGGAAAATGCTGCATCATGCTATAGAGTCATGGAAAGAGTAGTGTTGATTTGAATAAACAAGGTCCTACTTTTTTGTTACAGAGAGGATTTCAAAGTAATACACTTCATAATGTGCTCAAAACAAAAGAGCTAGCTGAGAACGGTCTTACTGGCATGCCTTCAGCCCCTTTCCATCATCTCCCGGCCCACCTACCCAGTGCTCCTAAATCATCTTCCATCGTCTCTGGAAGCATTTGGAATTCTACAAATGCAAAAGCAGCTCCTTAAAACAATTTATATATTAGATATTCAACCTAAACCATGTCCTCGAAGGCAGAAAGATTCAGATATACAAAATCTCAGCAATTCTTTCAAATTACGGGAGTTTTTGATCATTAATACATCCTGGGGAAATAGAGACGGGCTCTGAGTAGGAAGATGAGGAGGCGAAAAGAGTCAGCTCACAAGGAAAGACAAAGCGATGGACGCACGACAGACAAGGGTCTGCTGCCACCTTCTGCCTTCCACGGTTTCACACCCTTCAACCTGGGAATGCCTCTATCCCCTGGCAGAGGTTGTCTGCACCAGCCACCCAACCTGATGCTCCCAGGCTGGACTGCAACTACCGCACTTGCCAGACAGCATCACTAATGACATTTTACAAATTCCAATTCTGTAGCAAGAGCAGGAGATTTTTGCAACCTCTGAAAATGATTTGTCTTTTTTTACTTTGGAACCCTTGTTGCTGTTGCAAGTCGCAAAGTCGTGCCCGACCCATCACGATCCCAAGGACAACATTCCTCCAGGCTCTCCTGTCTTCCACCATCGCCTGGAGGCCACCCAACCCCATGCCCACTGCCCCAGGGACCCCATCCAGCCACCTCATCCTCTGCCGCCCCTTCTCCTTTTGCCGTCAATCAATCCCACTGTCAGGATCTTCTCCAAAGTTTGGAACCCTAGGGAAAGTCAAAGGCAGAAGAATTGAAAAAGCAAATATGAGATGGATCTATTCACAGAAACATAGAAACACAGAAACAGAACAAGTCAGAAGGCGTCTCCCGAGCCATCTAGTTTGACCCCCGGCTCCAGCTGGCTCTGCTCATGACATGCCCACCATGTGCATGTCCAGAGCCTATCCTCAAACACCCTCACCGATGGGACCATGAATGCCATTGAGTCCAACCCGCTGCTGTTGCAGGACACCAAGTTACACCATCCCACTCAGGTGGCTGCCCAGGTTCTTTTCAAATGTCTCTAGTGTGGGAGAGCCCACCACCTCTCTAGGCAGCTGGTTCCACTGTCGTATTGTTCTGACAGTGAGGAAGCTTTTCCTGATGTCCAGCCTGAATCCAGGTTGTCACAACTTGAATTTATTTTTCCGTGTCCTATTCTCTTGCATCAGCAGAAAGAGATCTTGACCTTCCTCTTTGTGACAGCCTTTGGGGTACTTACAGAGGGAGATCATGCCCCACTCAGTCTTCTCAAGGCTGAGCATGCCCAGTTTCCTCCATCTCTCCTCATAGGGCAGTGTTTCCAAATCCTGGATCAGTTCTGCTGCCCTCCACTGGACCCTTTCTAATTTACCTGCATCTTTCTTAAATCTTGGTGTCCAGAACTGGACACAGGATTCCAGGTGAGGGCTGACTAGTGAGGAGTATAGAGGAACGACTTCTCGTGATTTGGAAGTCATACTTCTGTTAATGCGTCCCAAAAGAGCATTTGCCCTTTTGGTGGCTGCACCGTATCGTTGGCTCATGCTTGGCCTATTATCCACAATTACTCCAAGATCTTTTCTTTTTCAATTCTGCTGAGCCACGTGTTCCCCATCTCGTATCGATGCCTTTGGTTTCTTTTCCCAGGTGGAGGGCACTTGTCCTTGCTGAACCTCATCCTGCTGCTTTCAGCCCAGTGTTCATGTTTATCAAGATCGCCCTGGATCTTCAGTCTGACTCCAAGGGTGCTTGCTATTCCACCCAGCTTGTATCATCTGTACTTCCTCATCTTAATGATTTAGATGAGGAAGTACAAGGAACGATAATCATTAATTGAAGAGCACTGGGCCCAGGTCTGAACCCTGAGGCATCCCACTAGCTACCTCCATCCAATTTGAGAAAGTGCCATTGATGAGCACTCTTTGTGACCGATTTAGCAGCCAATTTGGATCCACCTAATAGTTTCTCTAAAAAGTGAAAATAGTTTCACTTTTTCCTAATTTGCTTATCAGAATGTCATGTGGCACTGTGTTGAGAGCTTTGCTAAAGTCTGGGTAGATTATGTCCACACTGTTTCCTTTGCCCATTTGGGAAGTTACCTAGTCAAAAATGAGATTAAATTACTTGACAGGATAGGCCTTGGGTCAGGAGATACACAGTCTTGACAGAATGGACGCTGAGTCTGCTAACATTTATTTGTTTTCCAGAACAACAACTAGGAACACAACAGTTCCAAGAACGTTCTTGGATCTTACTTCCCACCTCCGGTCCTGCAGATAGCAAAGGAAAACAATACTGGCTCCAAATAAAGTGAGTTACTAGGGCTGGGTTAACGGAGGCCCCTTCACAGCAAGTGAAGTGCGATGAGGAACTATCTTCTTTTCATCAGAAACTTCTGTACAGGACCCAAGCAGAGCAACGTCGAGACAAATGTGGTGCTTACTTATCTATAAAAGCAGCACAAAATCTTCTTAATTCAGAGTGCTTCAACTGAAGCAGGACTTCCAAATCCGAGGACACCATGGATGGCCGTCGTGAAGTGGGCTTTCCTCCATTATAGATCAGTTCCTTTCCTTCTGCACAGCTGGATTCTGAAATGACCAACACACCATGTCATGGAACTCCCTTACATACCATTGCTAAGACCTGAGGACTTTTACTATTCGAAATGGTGAGATCTGGGAGTTGGTGTCTTGCCAAAGTCCCAAACTCTTATAGCAGTACAACAGAGTGCTTAATGACACATGCCGTGTGAAAAAGCACCTAAATTGGCACTTTTATTTGGAAGGAAAAACAGCTGAATGGATGAGAAGCAAGCCCACGATAGAAATCTCTCATTTTGCCTGACTTTTTGGGAGAAGGGATCCACAACCAGGACCTCCCTCTCCCTCTGCCAGAGCAGCTACTTCTCCTTCATGCTCTGCCACTGGAGTCAGGCAGGGCAATGCACACTCGAGCGAAGGCAGCCCCTCCTCCTGCCTCTTCTGGTTCATTCTTTCTGGGCAAAAAGCAGGCAAGATTGGGCCCCCAACACCCCCAGAGAAAGCACCAGCAGCTGCTTCTGCCCACTTGTCCCAACACCCTAGCTGGCATCGTTCAAAAGGCCAGCTGCCTCACTCACCCGCACTCTCCCTAAGCGATGCGGTGGCGGCGACCGGACCCAACGAGCACCATCTTCTTCACACCCAGGTGAAGTGCACAGACAAAGGCTGCACACTGTTCTTCTAGGAAATGGCTGCCCCTTGCTTCCTGGTGCCTTCCTTCTCCTATGTACAATCCAGCAAAAAAGGGGGGGGGAGCCTGCCCCCCTTGCTCCTTTACTCCAGACAGCAATGTTAATCCCCGTCTTTCCTACTGCATCAGCTGAAGGGACAGGATGCAGAAGCTTCTGCCTGCTTGCTTGTCCTCTCTCACCAAGTGGCGATGGAAGTGGATTAAGTGCCCACATGAGACCACGCTAGACAAAGCTCACAGGGGAGCGAAGGAGTTACGAGCAACTGCTCCTTCGGAGATTCATAATGGGCATCCCCGCCGAGGGAAACAGCGGCAAGTGAACAGGCAGAAGCGTCTGCCCTCGTTGTGCCTCTGGGAAGCACTGCAGGCCCAGCCCACCCTGCTGCAGTGCTCCGAGGGAAAGCCAGAAAGAGAAAGCGTGAGCAGCCACTTTCTTCTCATGCTTGCACACTTTCCCGCTCCCTCCTGGAAGTGGCGTAACTCAGAAAGGCAGGTTGCGTCCCTACAACTGTCCTTCGAGTGGCCATTTGTGCATTCATGCACATGAGTGCCGCGCCTGCGCAGTGCCTGGAGCCGGGAAGATTCAAAAGATTTAATGGTTTTTGGCAGGAACTCCGCCCCCCCGCCCCATAGTATAAAAGGTGGCGTGCCCGCCATTTCCCCAGTCAGCTGAAGACCATCCATTAGCCCCCAGGTGGAGGCTGTCAGAACTACACATTCATCATCATCATGTCATATAGACAAACGTGCTCTCATAGGGAGCACATGACATAAATATGCATATATGCAAATTGTATCATAGCAAAGTGGCAGAAAAAGAGAAGAGTAACAATAGAAGGGTTTATTCTAATTTTTTTTTTGGTCTTTTTTATGGGGGAAGGTGTAGGAGTTTAGAAAAACTTCTAAACAGGGGAGGGGAAAAGTAAGTTACCTTGGAGAGGAGATCTTAATGAGGGCTCTAACGAGAGAAAAGAGGAACAATACAGTGGTACCTCAGCTCACAAACGCCTCAGTTCATGACCAAATCGGGTCACAAACAGAAATTTCTGGAAAATTTGGCCTTAGGTCGTGAACTCTACATCAGGGGACGATCGTGATTGCGCCCGTCTCCCCCCCACCCCAGCGCACCCGTCTATGGCTGCAATTGCGTTCTTGCGGGGAACATGGGCGTGACTGCGGTCATGTGGGGGGGGGAGATGGCCATGATCTTTGTTGTTCTTTGTCACTTTGCTTTAAATTTTTGTGATAAAAAAATAGTTACAGAACGGATTAACCTTATATACATTGAACCTTATGGGGAAATTTGACTTGGCTCACGACCAATTTGGGTCACGACCAGAGTCCCGGAACGGATTAAGTTCGTGAGCCAAGGTACCACCGTAGAAGGTTTTAGAACAAACAGTGAGTATGTCTACGGCACAGAGACAAAAGGCTCGAGGAACAGCGAACGGTGGTCGCAAGAAGACTGGGGAAACGGCGGGCACTATGGGGGGAGAGGTGTGGAGTTCCCACCAAAACCCGTTAAAGCTTTTGAATCTTCCCAGCTACAGGTACTGCACAGGCGCAGCACCCGTATGTGTGATGCACAGAGGCCACGATGCAGAACAAGCATTATTGGAAAGGCCTTCCTGCTGGCACATTCGTTCCCCCCATCTGGCTCTTTTCCAGGCTGTGCTGCAGAATAGAGAAAATGAGAGGCCGATACTACCCTTTGATTACCTCTCCTTATCAACTGGCTGCTTTTCCTTGAAGGTAGGAGTGACATTATTAAACCCCCCCTTTCAAATAAGTGTTTATCATTGTGTGTAGTGAATGGCAAGATTTCACAAGTCAAAATCTTTAACAGGAAAGACAAACACCAATACTCAGACAAAAACTATTCCAAAGAACTACAAATTAAGAGCACAACACAAAACTATCTCCTGCAAGTACCAGAAAACACATTCTCGCCTCTACCATTGCTCAGTTACCCATCTCCTACCTCGTGTCTAACCTCCCCCAAATTGTGAGCCTGCAGCTCCCACATCTGTGGCTTTGAATTATGGGCACTGCTGCCTAATACATCTGGGGAGCACCAGGCAGGACAAGGCCGCATGGTAAAATACGCACCTCCAACTCCATGAGTGGGCAGGGAAAGCATTAGGCCCCTGCCATGCCACTTCACCATCCACCTCTCCAGACTGATTTTCAGAAGAGAAGGCTTCAGCGACTGATGCTGGAGCCAACCCTCAGCCTTCCTGTCCCTCCCCCAGGAGCCCTCCCAGTATCCCAGCTGCCTTAAAACTCCACAGTTCTACCTAAGGGGATGCCAAGCTGAAGCTTCTCAAGCAGTGCGAGCCAGGTGCATTTGGCACCTCGCTAAAGAGAGTGACTGAAGCCGGCACTGTCATGCCGGCTTCGACTCCTCTTGACAATCCTGTGCTATGACAGGCTGAGAAACAACCAGGGCAGCTGCAAAGGTGGCTTGCTCAGTGGCAAACAAGGCTCTAGCCCAAGAAACCTACTGTGACCGTCTTTGAATGCATCAAGTTTAAAGTCTTTCCATGAGCTAATCAAAAAGTCATTCTGAGGAGCATTTGATCAGTTCGCCTCTTTCATTCCCATCCAGTGGCTACACAATCAAAAAAGGCGGCTCAGGAACAACACAGGTGAAAGGGGGTGAACTGGCTTCGAAGAGAGGCTGCTGCTTCAGGTATAAGGACAGCATTGCTACTGCTGCTACTGGGACATTTTGCCAAACCCAGTTTTCTGCCTTCAAGCTCATTTCTGGAAGCAGCTAACCTAATTACCCATGTTCGGAGACTTTTACCCTGAATTTTACACTTGACTCCCCTCACCCTAAACTTTTACGTCTGAACACTTATGCCGGCAAAACTTTCAATTGTAGTCTCTTTATATCTTTGGCTAGAACAAATGGAAGGACTCTGTGCTGAAGAGTCTGCACCGGGAGGCAGCAAAGTCAAGGGTGTCCCCTTTGGACTCTTGCCCAAAGCCAGCTTTCAGGATCAGAAACGGTTCTCAAGAATTCCTTCTGCCACAAGAAGATGTGCTTTCCCACTGTTGTCTGTCTTATCTCCCCATCACTCCTCTGGTAGCCAACTAGTAGCAGAGAGCGGGATAAAACGGGGAGGCACGTCTTATGTGCTGAAAAATGCCATGATGTCTTATAGTGCAAGCGTTTCATCTTTTTTACAACCCTCACTAACAACCTTTTCATAACGAGGGTTAGAAGTGGAAGAGAAGAGCTGCGAGATGAGTATGGGGGATCGGAGGAAGCTGGGGATTTAGGAGCACAGATTAGAGCCACCCACCTAGAAGTCGAGGAACTCCTCAGGGCACTGGCCATAATGAATGCGCCAGGCCCTGATGGGTTACACCCGAGGGCACTTAAGGAGTTGGCGGAGGAACTCTCACGTCTGCTGGTCTCCATTTTTGAGGCCTCCTGGAGAATGGGTGAGGTTCCAGAGGACTGGAGGATGGTGTCAAGTCCCAATCTTCAAAAAGCATAGAGGGACATGGGGAATTACAGACTGGCTAGCTTTGATAAGGGAAGACACTAACAGACCCAAGTGAGACTGCGATTACGAAGTGCCCTTAAGCCACAAACAGTATGTTGGGAATGGGGTCTAACAAGCAACAATGGCCCTGAAAACACAATCACCCTCCCTCTGTATAACTTAGAATCTGAGAATAATAGAGTTGGGAAGCGGCCAGAAAGCCATCGGGTTCAACCCCCTCCTACTGCAGGACTCCAAGTTATACCATCGCCTTTGCTTTTAATTAGACAATTTCCGAGATGAAAAAGAGAAAAGGGTAGGGAAAACACGATAGCCCAGAATCTAACCTAACTCTCCTAAGAACTAGTGCCAAAAGGACTTTACCGGAAATGATTAATTCTGCTCTTCCGTAGGAGGCAGAACCAAGGCCGAAAGGGGTTCGTTCCTTTCCTATGGGACTCAGCTTGTGTTGTCTTGCCTTTTGCAGAAGTGGGAGCGAATCCTTTCCTCCCTCCCCTCTGAATAGCAAATGGCCAACCACCTTTTGCCGCCTGCTCCACACCACCTTTCTTCTTTTCCCAAGAATTTCAGTAAAGAGCAAGTGGCAAGCATAACCCTTAAGCCCACGCCCTGCATACAACAATAACCTTCCAGCAATGCAAGCCACAGTATGAAACCCAGTACTACTAAGAACAGAAGATTAGTTTCCACTCAATATGCCCATCACAACCTACTTTGATTTCATAGCCTTGAAGGCCTTCACACAGCTCTGTCTCTTTGAGATAAAAACTTATCCAATGAGATGGCAAATGTTGTTTCCTAAACTTGACTAAGGACCACCTGATGTATCACGGCCTGAGGTTATTCCAAATAGCAGTGATGAAATGAATGGAATCACAATTAAGGAAGGCTGCTCGTACATGAGAGCAAAGGCGATTCAAAGGCATTATAGCAATGTGCGAGGCAGACCCACAGGGCTTCTTCCGTCGGACAGCTGCTTGCATTTGGCAAAGGAGCAGGCACAAATGAGCTTTTTTTTCAGACTGGCCTTGTGCTTAACTCCCAAGCAAAAGGTCCCCTTTTAAACTCTACTATTGGAATCATGAGAGAGAAATGCCTCCCCAAAAGGCTGGCTCCCAAGCTCTGTCTTACAGACGTGCAGCGGGGTTTATCAGAGTTTCTTTTTTAGCTCCCGGGATCACAGCAGCTGCTGCTGGTCTGTAGCCCAGACACAGTCATTGCCACCCCACCGACAATTCCTGCCAGCGGATGACAGGGCTTGCCTGCAGGACAGCCCGCTCTGGCAGGCCGATCTTGGAAGCGGCGCCACGATCCCACCCGAGCGCAACAGACACTGCTCAAGGGGGCACAGAGCACGCCTTCCTAATCGCGTCCAACAGCAAGGGGCTGCTGCTCTAGTCAACTTCTATCCAGGCACTGGCCACGGTCAGTGTTCTTCTCTCTGGCTGAAGAGCCATCCTCTTCCTCCTTGCACCCTAACCTGGTGCCCCCAGAAGTGAATTACCACTGACTAGAGGATTTATGGGAGTTGTAGTCCAATACTCTGGATGCCACTGGGTTGGCAAAGGTTGGTTTAACCAGCCCCTCCAGAAAGGACAGCCTGTTGTGTGACTGAGTTTCAAAGCATTCTCCGCAGTTTTCCTGAAAAGCTGGCTGCTTCTGAAGCAGGGCTGAGTAACAAGAAAGGCTTGCTTCCAGGATCCAGAATGTCAGCACTTCAGATAAGGGTGCTGTGTCTCCTAAGCTGCATTCTTTATTCTTTGAAACAGCTGGAGTTCCAAAAAGTACATCTGCAGTACAAAACAGAAACAATTCTATCCTATCATGGTTTCTCTCAGGTATTCTGAGGATTGTAGTTTCGTTAGGATGTTGGGAATTCTTCTAGAAATTCCTACCTCCTCCTTAGTGAATTGCAGTTCCCAGAATTCTGTCGGAAGAAGCAATGTTTAAAGCTAGTTTGAGTCTATGCCCTTATTCCTCCCATGCAACCGTCCCTGTAATATTGAGCTACCCACGTTCCTTACAGATGGTTACGATTAAGACCAAACTAAAAATAACCAAGATCATATGAGGCTATTATAAATTAAAGTGAACCTTAGGAAAGACAGCATCAGCTTTCTACTGTCAGAATCACCCCCTGGATAGTGAAATATGCTCATTTCTGGAGTTGGCATGTCTATCCCAAGTGTGTGCATAAAGGAGGAACAGCTCCCAGGGGAGCCCAGGTGATGCTTAGCCCAAGAGCTAAATGCTATTGTAACAGCAAAGGGGAAAAGATGGCTCAGCTATTCCTCTAAACCACACAAAGATCTCCAGCCTTTGCTAGATTGACTATTTATTGTCCATGACAATGACCACATTTTTATGTCCATAGCTTGTAGTCACTCAGGGTCCTGCGATTCATGCCAAATTAATCATTTTATCTGAATGTGTCTCTGTGAGCAAGTTTCTGAATAAGGCTGGTTCTCTGTCAAGCCCTTTAGAAGAGGCAATCGACAAAGCTCCAGGCACATCTCATCTGACTACCTTCAGTCACAGCAAGCACTTGCACTGAAGGACTCAGCACAAGAAGCTTTCCTCTGCTGGCAAGAATGCAAGGAGAAAATCGTAACAAGGAAAGCACAATTAGCAACAGCAAGCTACCTAACGGAGTAAAGCTTTCAGATGTTCAAAGCATTTTGCATTCATTACCAAGACCCAGTTTCTACAGCCGTTCTGTATGCAGATGGAATGGACTGAGCTTAGGGAGAACAGATTGCCTAAGATCACCTTCGCAAGCTCTGGACCAAGACAAGATTCAAACCAGAGATTTTATTTCAGCTCAGTCTAGACATCAATCAGATGTGAGAAAGACTCAGGAGCATGATATATAATCTGCCTTCACTTCCCTTTGAATCATTTCCACTAGTACATACAGAAGTTAGGGAGGCAAGACTATGCCTTGAGATCCCACTTTCGGGGCGAGTTCAGCAAACTGACCAGGATATCTAGCCTAGTTTAGGGAGGGATGCAGCAATAATCATTAATTGGGGAGAGAGACATGGCAGGCAATATCATCCAGTGGGAACATTCAGCCTCTAGGATGGTTGAAGCAGCTGTCAAGAATCATATCATAAAGTCAGCCTCCTTCTAGCTCTTGTGGTGATCAGCTGGGATGATTAAGAACTATAACTAGGAAAGGGCTTTGTAGAACAACGGCAGCTCAGTCACATTTCTGCCTCACCCCAGAGTAACTGCAGAAGCCAGACACAGTGGCATGTGCTTTACCTGCCAAAACCTGGAGGAATGCCACCGGTGAGACGACGGGGCCTTGGGAAGGCACACCTGTGATGCAACCCGGCACCGTTTAAAGCTTAGGCCCTCAGAGCGACTGCATTACCTTCAAGCCCACTCCTCCAGGAGGAGGACTAGTGGGAGCAAACATCCTGGAGCACATCTGCTTCTCCTTCGCCATATAATCTTTGTAACATCTGAAATATAAAGCAAATTGTTTCAAGGTAAATTTCTGCCTTTAAAAAGTATAAGATTTTGAAACAAAGCCCGAACATATCACCGCTCCCTCGGGAAGGGAAGAACACTCAGGACCGCGTGGTTCTTGCCACTTTTTGTTCTCTCTGTAAGGATCAAACGCCACGGTCTCCAGAACACGTCCTTTACGTTTTGCCATTAAGAAATAAAAAGCAGCCAAGTGATGCAGACTTGAAACACAGAACTTTTCCCAGTTTTGTGAAAGCAAAAACATGGTTTCAACATGTGAGGAGTTGCCAGGAGGCTAAATTCAGGCCTCCAGATATTTTGTGTAGCCCACACTCCATTACCCAATACCCTTTCTTCTAATCTGTTTGTTGTTTCCAGTTTTTTCAGGATTTTTCCTCATCCTAAAAGAATGACATGCTTCTCCCAAAGTTTAGTTACAGGCATAGAGATATTTAAGCTCTAAAGCCTGGACTTTCATGTATTTTTTTACTCTACCCCTTTTGTCTTTGGCTCTGCCCATGACTGGAATGCAGCACCTCAGCTTCTCTGAAACGGACTCTCGCTCTTGCCCCATCTCAGTGCAGCGGAAGGAGGAAAGGCCCGTGTGTGCTGGCAAATAACGTGGAGGCCCACTGAATGCCCTGGAGGGAGCAGCCACGGAAATCAAGGCAGCTGCACCACTGCCACTTTCCAGCACTGCTTCAGGACCTCAGTGCACTGTTCCCAAGCCCATGAAAGCTGGGTAATTTTCCCAGTCTCACCTATGGATTAAGTAACCCGCCTGATGGTTTGACTCTCCACGTACTGCGGGGGGGGGGGGGGGGCTCCACACTGGAAGGGCTTCAAGCTCCTTTTGCTATCTGTTTGTGCCACCTGACACAATTTGGCATGTGATGCCACAAAGGCTCCCCACATTCCTACTGACTCCACTTGCAAGATAATTTAATCATTAGAATACATAGCTTTGAACAGCTGGGATGAACACGCTTAGACCATTTTAGTGTGAGGGGGGTAAAGTGGGAATTCAGTTCAGCTACACAATTATCCTGAGAGGAGTAAAGAAAGAGCTCCCTCACCTGGCCAGCTTTTTCAACTCATTGTTAATATCATTGTTGAAAGGCTGCTCCTTCTGAGCCTTGACCAGAAAATCCCGGGCTCTCTCATACTCTGTCAGAGATAGGCATGCCTAGAGGTTAAGAATACAGTCTTCAGAATGCAATGCATACACTTTGCTCATTCCTCTCAAGAAGCAATTCGTAGCAAGATCTACTCGGGAAGAGCAAGCCAGACCTCTCTGTACATCCCTACTGTTGTATGCAAATGTGATCAAAGACCACCTTGCCTTGAACAATAAGCCAGGATTTCAGAGATATGTGGGCTACTGTTCCTGAGCAACACGCTTGGGCACAATTGCTCCTGCTTAGTTACTGCTAAAGCAAAACCTAACTAGAACACATTCATGGATTTATAAAATATAAACTCTAACCCTTTTTATTCTCCCAGTATTTTAACTGTTAACTTGCTTTAGTTACTGGGTTTATATTTTAACATTGGAGGCTGGGCAACTGTTATTTTTATTTCTAGTTTCAAAATTAATTTGTTGTAAACCATCTCAAGATGTCGAAGTATGGGAAGGTATAGAAAAGTTTTGAACAATTTTGTTAAACAAACAAGCCAGCTATTGAAAACCAACAAGAAATGCTACTTCAGACTCTGGCTGGCTCAAATGCAGTTTGTGTTTCCTTATTACTTTCAAGTTAACAAGTTCTGGTGGCAGAAGTCGGGTGGGAACAACTGGGGAGCACGCACTGACCTGCAGCATCCGTAGCACAAGGCAGAACTGCACAACTCCCTAATTTCCCCCACAGTGGCATCCATTCCACACTCTGGTTTTAGCCCTTGGGACTGGATGTGGGGACTCTGCTCTTCTCAGCAGCCTAGCACCTGCCACGGGTGCGCTTCATGAGAGGGATTCCAAGGGACCACTGTGAACTGGAGGTGGGGGCATCTGAAAAAGCTCTCGGACACACTGGCTCTTCTTCCTCATGTAGCTGCAGCACATGGCTGGCATCATCTAGGCCAGCTCAAAGACATGCCGAGGCCCTCTCAGGCATTCCTGTCCCTCCCAGTCAACCGTCTGGCCAAGGTACCACACTCGGAAGGATGGCCTACGCAAGACCTTACCTGGCCGCATCGAAAGAGAGCTTTGGCATTCTTCTCGTCCAGCGCCAGGGCCTTCTCTCCATAGGCAAGTGCTCGGGTGGGGTGCTCCAGCTTCAAGTGGACCAGTGACAAGTTCAGAAAGACTGGGAGCTTGGAAGCATCAACTCTAGCTTGCTCCGTCTCCTTGGCACTCACACGCCGCAAAATGGAGGCGGCCTGCATGGGGGCAGGGGTGCGATATGGAAGTGAAACACGGTTACTCACAGTCTTAACACAACACAGCCGCACTCAACAAAAAGCTGTGGCATACAGAATGGCAGGGGAACGTTTCTTGCAGAAAGAAACGGAAAAGTCAGATTTTATCTCGATGGGGATCCATGACACAGATGATGATGAACAACTAAGGTGGCAAAGTGACATTTTTATACAGCGTATGATGAGTTCATGACAAGAGAAGGAGCAAATATGTACACACAATTCACACAAATCTATACAAAACTTCTTCAGGGATACAGCAGCAGTCTCATAACTGGGTATCTAGTTCAGCGCGCCAAGCTATTGTCTCTGGTGTTGCTCCGTGCAGGTCTTCTAAGGACCCAGGAAATGCACATCTTGGGCATTCTTGCACAATAGGTTTGATCGTTGGCACATCGGCACCACAGCTGTAGCAAGGAGACTCTTCCCACCCCCACTGATACAGAGCAGAGGTGCTCCTTCCAGTATCCCATCCAATTCTATTCAGCTTTGCCCAGAGAGAGCGAAGTAGGTTAAAGCCAGGAAGTTTGGCAGGGAGATCGCTAATGCCCAAGCCGCAAAAACTTGGACCATTCCTTTCTCCATGCATTCTTAGAGCTGAACCGGGTAGGTGCAAGAGAAATGGCTGTTTTCGAAGCTGGTCTATGAGATTTCATCTGTTCAGTATCTTGATGGACAGGGAAGGCCTTATTATTCAACATCCTTGACCATAGCCAGGCAAGAGAGTGGTGTCTTCTAATGTGAGGTGGTATAATGTTGCTAAGTACTAGTAATTGGTGTGCAGGAGTGGAGTGCAACAGGCCAAAAGCTGTTGCTCACAAGGTGTTAGCATCAGCACCCCAGGATGTTCCAGCCAGTCTATTCAATACGTTATTGCGGCTTTTCAATTTTGCAGCTGTTTTTTCCAGGTGTTGGCAGAAGGTCAGTGAAGGTCAGATACTTCTGGGTGTTACTACAGAGTAAAATATGGCTCTGAAACTGCACCATAGGATGTGAGTCGGGCTCATAACTATCTGGGACTAGGCTTGTAATAGCAACAGACCTAGTGATGCTAGATAGGGGAGGGAGGCTGTCGGCCACACAACACGGCTTCCACAAAAACAGGTCCTGCCAGACAAACCTTGTGGAGTTTTATGACAAGGTTTCGAGGTGGCTGGATGCAGTGGATGTGGCTTACCTGGATTTCAGCAAGGCCTTTGACAAAGTGCCCCATGATATCCTGGTGGAGAAACTGAGGAGTTTTGGGGAAAGGGGTGAACAGTCTGCTGATCAAATTTACAGACGATACTAAAACTGGGGCGGTGGCCACAACTGAGGAGCAGGTAGTCCAGATCCAAAAGGATCTGGACAGACTATGGAAGTGGGCAGGGGACGACAGGATGGCAGTCAATGTGGCCGACTAGATCAGACTAGACGGCCCGGGAGAACCTTCTGACTTGCTCTGCTTCTATGTTTCTATACCGAACCTCAGTTTCACAATTCAGGCAACTTGTAAGACCCTTCATATGTAAGTGAAAAAACAAAAGTAGAGCTGGGAGGGGCAGCTCACAGGCATCTAACACTGACTTGGGCTGAACTAAAAGAAGCTGCACGGCAGGGCCACTGACACAAGTGCACACAGTACTTGCAGGAGGCCCACATTTCAACCTCGGGCACCACTAGGTAACAGGAGTGCAAGCAGCAGGACTAGAGAAGAAGTGCTGCCAGTCAGAGTAGTTTCTACAGGGCTCGATGCACCTCTGCTTTAATGCCGCACGGTAAAGTTAACGCAAAGCCTGCAAAGTCATTTCAAGCTGCCTCTCCAACTTCTGGAGCTCAATTCCTTCTAGATATTTCTTTTTCTTGTGCTAGCGGTATAAATACAGTATGACTAGGAAAAGAACGGTGTGCTTGTACAAGGACCAGGCTTCATTCCCAGACACTCTTTCAGCTGTTTTGCTTACCCGCTTGTACCTTTCTTTGGCGTCCAAGTAGTGCTTTTGGCAGAAGAGGAAATTGCCAAATTCTCGCTCCGTTTCTGCTACCTTCAGCACTGTCTGTAGTGGACATCTGCTCTGTTGCTCCTGTAGAGAAAAACCGTAATCCATACAAAGAAGTTAGTGTCAATGAATACATTCAAGGTGCAGCTGATACACTGAAAAACTTGGAGAACGCATTGTGCTTCGACTGAGGCAGGGAAGGCAGAGTGAAGCTAGAGGGCAATGCAATGAGAAAGCGATTCTACTCCGGTGTGAGTGTGGCACGGTCTCGATCCCAAGGCAACAGGGCTCCCAACAGGTGGAGTTCGCCAACACAAGGGTCAGACTCCTCAGGGAATCTGCAGGCCATTTTCCCTAAAAGAAAATGGATTAACTGGTCCCCCTGCCATAGAAACAGTGAGCCAGAAGGGGCCTCCTGGGCCATCTGGTCTGACCCCCAGCTCCAGGCAGCTCCACTCATGACATGCCCACCCTGTGCGTGCCCAGCCTGTTCTTGAATGCCCTCACTGATGGGGCTTCAACCACCTCCCCTGGAAGCCCATGCCATGCCCCTGGGGTCCTAACGGTCAGGAAGTGCTTCCTGGCATCCAAACTGAACCTCGGTTCCCTGAGCATTGCTCCCTTGGAGCGCCTCCTGCCCTCCAAATCAGGGGAAAAAGGGTCACAACCCACCTCCACGTGACATCGCCTCACGTGCCTGTATCCCGCTCACACCTCCCCTCCGAGTCTCCTCCTCTCCAGGCTGAAGAGGCCCAGCTGCCCCAGTGTCTCCTTATGCGGCTTCCCCTGCAAACCAGCCACCATCCTAGTGGCCCTTCGCTGCACCAATTCCAACCTGGCTACATCCTTAGTCTGCTAGGAGATGCAGAGCAGGGACAATGTCCTTGTCATGTCACCCTCGGTGCATCGTCCGTTGGGCCGCCAATGGCAGCACAGGGCCTCGCATAGTCGGCGGCTTGCCCCACTCCCTCTGCTTGGGGTTGTGAGCCCATGGCCAATGTTGCATGCAAGAACAGCGTACTGGAGAGAAGCAAGTTCAGACCTCTACACACTCCTGCAAAGTAAGTTCCATTGAATTCAGCAAGGCTAACAACAGAATTTACAAGAATAGCACGGGCTGTAAAGTGCCTCCCGGAAGCTGCAGACTCCCTCCTTTCCTGGTTTGGTTTTGAGCCAATTTGAGAAAACTGGAGGGAAAGATCAAAGGCCGATTTATGTTATCTAAAGCATGGATACTGGAATGCAGTAATAGGGTTGTTAACAACAGGAGCAAGCAGCAGGGATTCTAGCGATGAGAGATCAGAACTATTTTTGTGCCACATGAATAACCAGGATGGGGAGTATAAAAGAGCAGGACTGTGCTTCCATGACTCCTCTGAGAGCAACCTGGCTCTTGCTCCTTCAGTCACCGACTCAGCTCTAGGGAACGCCATGCTTTCTTTGCAGAGATCCTTCTGCATTTTCACCCCCTGCTTCTGGTAACCAAAAATACAAGAGCTAGCTTGCAGTGGAGCCTCCCACCGAACTGCTAGTTTCCTCCAAACAGCCAAAGGGAAAGAGGAACACAAGACAAGAAGCAGCGCATCTGAGTCTTGACCAACAAAAGATGTGAGATGAGTGTATCATGCTCCCTGCCCCATCAGATCTGGGAGTCGCTCGCTTGTGCCCCGTCTTCCTTCTGTGCCCTCCAGAACTGCCCTCTTTCTGCTCTTACACTTCCACTTCCTTGCAGAGAGCAGACCCCAACCTCAGCAGTTCCGTGTTTTTCAGCAGGAAGCAGAGACGGATCAATACCTGATCAGCAGCCCTGCCCTGCCAGCCTGAGACGCCCCACGTTTTCCGAACTTATGCAGGAGACTTGAGTTAGTCTATACTTGTTTTACAGCTATACACATAATATCAAGGAACTCACAGGAGTCAGGTCAAAAAATTGGTCAGAGTCTGCTGAGTCCAGAAAGTCCAAAAGTTCAACCTCAAACAAGACAGTGGCATCAGGCGGGATCAGGGGAGGGCAGCCCATAGCTCCAAAAGCATAGCTTGGCCTGAAGAGAAACCGTGCCAGCTCTCCTCTCTTCATTGTCAAGAGTCCTATCTCCATGCCACGAAGAGTAATGTCTGGGAAAGCAGAACATGAAAGCTGTTTCTAAAGTACAGGCGTACCTTGTATTATTGTGCTTTGCAGATACTGAATTTTTTTACAAATTGAAGGTTTGTGGCAATCCTTTGTCAAGCAAATCTATTGGCACCATTTTTCCAACAGTATTTGGCACTTTGTGTGTCTGTGTCACATTTTGGTAATTCTTGCAATATTTAAAATCTTTTCATTGTTATTATATTATTATGGTGACCGGGAATCTTTGATGTTACTATTGTAACTGTTTTGGGGTGCCACAAACCACAGCCATATTTAAACCTTAATATTAATATTAATTTAAAACAGCAAACTTGATAAATATTGTGTGAGCTCTGACTTTTCCATCAACCAGCTGTTCCCAGTCTCTCCCCCTCTCCTTGGGTCTCTTTGTTCCCTCAGATACAGCAATATTGAAATTAGACCAATTAATAAAACTACAATGGCCTCAAGTATTCAAGTGAAAGGAAGAGATGCACATCTCTCACTTTAAATCCAAAGCTAGACACTATTAAGCTTAGTGAGGAAAGTATGTCAAAAGCCAAGACAGGCCAAAAGTTGGGCCTCTTGCACCAGTTAGCTAAGTTGTGAATGCAAAGTTCTTGAAGGAAATAAAAGTGCTACTCCAGTGAATACACAAATGGTAAAAAAAAGTGAAACAGCCTTATTGCTGAAAGTTTTAGTGGTATAGGTAGAAGATCCTATCAGTCACAACATTCCCTGAAGCCCAAGTCCAATCCAGAGCGAGGCCCTAACCATCTTCAATCCTATGAAGGATGAAAGGGGTGAAAAAACTGCAGAAGAAAAGTGCGACGCTAGCAGAGGTTTAAAGAGGTTCATGAGGTTTAAAGAAAGAAGCAGTCTCCATAACATAAAAGTGCAAGGTGAAGCTGCGAGCGCCGATTCAGGTGCTGCAGCATGTTACCCAGATTTAGATGAGACAAAGGATGACCGAGCTGCTGTAATCTATCAAGCCCCAACTAGTTTTCTTTGGACTGGTGCCCAGTCATTTCAAGGATGCAAACATACTGATTTCTAGGGAAGAGGGTTTTTTGCAGGCCTGGTTCTGTGTCAATGAGTGCATGATTCAACCAATGAAAGTTCCACCTACTGATTTGTGCATCAAAGTAATGCAGCTGGTAATGTTAAGTTAAAGCCAAAGCTCATTTACCATTCCAGAATCCTCGGGCTCTTAAGGACCATGATAAATCTACTCTGCCTGCGCTCTGTAAATGGAACTAAACCTGGGTGACAGCGTATCTATTCACAGCACAGTTTACTGAATATTTTCAGCCCGTTGTTGAAACCTACTGCTCAGAAAAAAAAAGATTCCTTGCAAAATATTACTGCTCATTGACAATGCAGCTGGCTGCCCATGAGCTCTGACAGAGATGACAAGATTAATGCTGTTTTCATGCCTACTAACACGGCATCTATTCTGCAGCCTGGGGATCAAGCAGTTATTTTGACTTTCAAGTCCTATTATTTAAGGAATACATTTTGTAAGGTTATAGCTGCCATAGACAGTGATTCCTTGATGGATCTGGGCAAAGTAAGTTGAAACAGAAAGAGAATTGGGCATGTTCAGTCTTGAGAAGACTGAGGGGGGACACAGTACTTCTCTATAAGTACCTCAAAGTTTGTCACATAGAGGAAACTCAAGATCTTTTCTTGTTGAAACTAGAGTGTGGGACACGGAATAATCAGTTCAAGCTGCCACAATCCAAATTCAGGCTAGATATCAGGAAAAGCTTCCTCACTGTAAGAGCAAAACGGAAGTGGAACCAGCTGCCCAGAGCGGTCGTGGGCTCTCCCACACTGGAGGCATTCAAGGCCAAACTGGACAGCCCTCTGAGTGGGATGGTGTGAACTGGAGTCCGACAACCGCAGGGGGTTTGACTCAATGGCCTTCATGGCCCCTTCCAACTCTGCTCTTCTATGATTCCGGTCTATGAAAACTTTCTGGAAAAGACTCACCATTCTAGGTGCTATTAAGGACACTCGTGATTCATGGGAAGAGGTCAAAATATCAACAGTATCCCGCAGACTATGACTGGGGTACAAAAACAAATAGCTTGGCTCTCTGTATTACAGTATTTGCTTCACTCCGTGGTCTGGAGCCGAACTTGCAACATTTCCAAGGTGGGCCTGTATCTGCCCTCTTGGATGCCAGAGTTCGGGACATCACCACAGAGATCCTAGAAAGAGGGAGACAAGGGAGCCTGTCGCCAGTGAGCTCACACAGGGCAACCACAGAAGGGCCTGAGAAGAGGCAGCAGAGGACAGAATTAAGAAGAGGAAGCTTCGGAACGTGAAGGATCAGCTGTTGAGGGGCAGAGTCGCCTCACTAGCACCAGACATGCATGGTGCTGAGTGCCGGTTCCCCCCACTCCAGCTGCATGCAATTCATAGCTACGTTTGTATCTTTGGCTCACCTTTACCAAGCTTCATGAGTTTGGGATTCTTCCTGAAGCAGTTTGTGTCAAAGGGTCTTTCCATGTGGTCCAAGTACCCGGAAAATTTCACTGAGGAAATTCAAAGTCAAGTGAGAGTAAATCAGTTTCAGTAACATAAATCCTCCTTGTTATTTCATCAAATTATAGGTAAATGCTGGCTGTTTTTGTTTCTCCGCAGAAGCCTGTTGATAACACAATTATAGTGCCTTCATTTATTACAATTCCTTAATTAAGTATTATGGGATAATGTTTTCTAATGCTATATCAGGTACAATATTTGTTTGTTTATTAGAGTTCTAACCTGCCTCATTAGCCATGCGGCTCCCTGAGCAGGCCACAACAACAATAAAACCATACAGGTATGTGAGGGGGTGTCACTCAGAGGTGGGCAGAGACCGGTTTTCCCCTGAGGAGGAGGGCAGGACACATTCCAACAGAGCCAAGCTCAGGGAACAAAGGTTAAATTTGGATGCCAGGAAGCACTTCCCTGACAGTTAGGACCCTAAGGTAAGGCATGGGCTTCCACGGGAGGTGGCTGAAGCCCCATCAGTGAAGGTGTTCAAGGATAGGCTGGACATGTACATGGTAGGCATGTCATGAGCAGAGCTAGCTGGAGCTGGGGGTCAGGCTAGATGACCCGGGAGACCCCTTCTGACTCACTCTGCTTCTATATTTCTATTTTACTCTTGAGTAGGCTTAAGACGCTGTATATATTACAAGGTCCAAGGGATATGTATGCCAATTAGATATATGTTCTGATAGAGAGGTTGCAGTTTACTGCTGTTGATGATCTTAGATTTCATATTTGTTTCTTACTTTATTGGTTTACTTTTTTAAAAACTGTAAATCCATCAGAGAACCTTCATGTATATAAAGACTGTGAATCAAGAATACAAAACCCAAGGATCTCTACAAACACAAGATAGTGTCACACTAGGAACTATAGGGCTACTAACTAAACGAAACCAAAAAATTAAACAAAACAATCGGATCGTTTGTCAAATATTTTGTCTTCAAAGCAAATTAACAAGCCTATGCTTCAGCACTGACACACCCTTCCTGTAAATGTTAACTGACCAATATCATTTATTTTGTTGAAGGGGGATTTTTTTTTCCACAGAAGGACCCTCAGCATTGCTAGAATTAACTAGTATGGAAAAGATGAAGAACTCTTCCATTTAGACAATCCACAATAAAGCACATCCTTGGGACAACAGAGATGAAGGGTTTTTTTAAAAAAAAAATCCTGGATAACATTGTCACTATTCAAAACTGATGAAGTAGAAAAGGCTCTTAGAAAAAAAAATCCACTCATTTTAATCCAGGGCCAAGCTAGATGTGATAATATAGGCATTTAACATGCCTGCTCTTACACGGAAAAGCCCTACAACTCCCAAGATTCCCTGACTTGAAATTTTACCTGAGGACTAGGGCATGCTGCAGGCTGCAGGCATTGTTTCTCTCTAAACTTACATAGGATTGTGTCTTATCTTTTTTGGCTGCTGAAGTAAACAAAGCAATCCTATGCATACCATGCAGCTGATTTCCCTAATTAGCTACTGTAGACTTCTAGGCACAAGGGGTTTTTTTTACCTAATACAGATGCATCAGGAGGAACTGTTTCACCAGCACCAGCACGGAGAACCTCCTTCAACACGCCTCTGTCACCAGTAATGTCCTGCATTCGTTGATCCAGCCACTGGAACTTGGACAGTGGAAACAAGAATATATATAAGCTTAATGCTGCATTTCCACTATGGATTTCTTCAAAGGTTCCTGGCACTGAACTACAGATATTTACAGTTATTGCCATTCATACACTATGCATTCTGTAGCAGTACAAACAGAAAGTCAAAACTGCCCTAGCCAAAACCAGACAAAAAGTGTACATAAACATAGAAACAGAGCAAGTCAGAAGGGGCCTCCCGGGCCATCTTGTCTGACCTCCGGCTCCAGCCGGCTCCGCTCACGACATGCCCACCATGTGGACGTCCAGCCTATCCCTGAACACCCTCACTGATGGGACCTCAACCACCTCCCGTGGAAGCCCATTCCACACCCTCGGGGTCCCGACTGTCAGGAAGTGCTTCCTGGCATCCAAATGGAACCTGAGTTCCCCGAGCTTTGCTCCGTTGGCACGTGTCCTGCCTTCCTCTGCAGGGGAGAACAGGTCTCTACCCATCTGTGAGGATGTTCAAAGATAGGCTTGATATGGGAAAACATTGCATGGTGTCCCACAATAAACAAATACCATTATAAACAAATGGTGTAAAACTGGGCTCCCATAGATACTCAGACTTGACAGGGAAAATCCTTTGTGTGAGGAGAGGGAAATAGATTCATCTTTCAAAGACATTGGCTTGGCTTTCTAAAATATTCTGCTCACCCTGAGCAGCCAAGGTGAGAAAGGGAGAAGAGATACTGTGCTCTTACAGCAGCACAAGAAAGCTTTCATTTTGAAAAGATTTCATTTCCCTTAAAAGGATGTTGGGGGGGGGGGAGTGAACAGAGAGGAGAGGAGTATGGGACAGGGTGACTGTTGTTCTGCATGCAGAAGAGCAGGGCTCAATCCTCAGTATCACCAATTAAAGGATTATAGATGAAAGGGCTGCAACCTGTGTGCCCCTGAGCACGCAGAACGGTGCTCAATTATCTGGCGTCCCAAACAAGTGGCCTGACATGCCAGAGGAAACTTCATACTGCTTCTCATGAGGGAGCCCCACCGGGCACGTGGCAGTCCCTGGCTGCCCCTCCTCCTGAATCCCTTGAGCGCCAATGTTGGTGGCCAGTGCACATCATCCTGAGCCAGAGGGGCCAGGCTGTGGCACGCTGGAAGGCAGCTTCTGCTCTTATCTAAAGCAGCCTTTTCTTTAGGGCTGGAATCTCACTACATATTTAGGGGAGAGGCTGCAGCTCAAAGGGAGTGCCCCTTCTTTGCACGCAGAAGGCCCCAAACTGACTTCCGGAAGCTTCTCCAGTCCAGGGTTTGGGAGGACTCCGCTGTCAGAACCCCTGCCAATATTCTGGAACGATGGGAGTGGCAGTCCCACACGTCTAGGCGCAACCAGACACACCGTGCGCTCCGGAGGCTGGGGCCTGGCCTGCCGACCTACACAGCTTGTTAGACACCTGCCCGGGCCACGTGCTGGCTGCCCCCGCTAGGTGGAAGAGCGCCACCTTACAAGCTGAAGGCCCCAGAGCTTGGGCCCCAGGCCCCCACCAGCGGTGTTAATGACCACTCCCATCATCCCCAGGCCATCTGGCTGTGACCAGGCTGGCTCAGGATGATGGGGTGACGACAGCTCAGCATCTGGTGGGCGCATCAGGAGGCCAACTTAAACGCGCCGACTTGCCACAAGGCGGCACAAGGCCGGGGGGCGGGGAGACCCCCGTGCATACCCCGTTCCTGCCGGGAAATGCCGGGGCACTCAGCACGTGCTCGGGGGCAGCGGGCTCCGCTCCCGAAAGCGCCACGCGCTGCACGGGGGGCGACGACAGCGCCGCTCCCGCCCCCCCGCGCTCACCGCCAGGTCCCCCGCCCGCCGCCTGGTCCCGCCGGACCCCGCCTCGCCCGCCGCGCCCGCCATGGCGCCGCCCGGCAAGCAAGCGCGGCTCTCCCGCCTCAGCCGCCCGGGCCAATCGCGGCGCCCTGCGGAGGCCTCGCGCGCCACCAAGGCCCGCCCCCCCGCCGGGCGCCGCTACGCATGCCGGGCGATGCAGTCCCGCTGGGGCTCCCCGCGGCCCTGGCCTGCCCCTCCCCTCGCGGGGTCCTGTGCGGCGCGGGGAGGCCTGCCGGGTGGGTCGGTGGTCCTGTTGTCATATGCATTTTGCAGCCCTCTTTCCTGTACAGTCTTTTCCTGCTGTGGAGGAACTTATGGCTGTTCAGACGTTCTTGGACTCCACGTGCCTTCAGCTGCAGCCAGCCTGGCCAGCGGTGAAGGATGATGGAAGCTGGTGGAGGGAGAGGGAGATCTGGTGGACTGAATGCTCCTTCCCTCCCTCCAGCCACAGATCTGAGGTTCAAGTTAGGACTGTTGACACTCGTGATGCAGGCCTGGACAACTTGTCACCCTCCTTAGAAGCTTGTGATTCTACTGCCGTATAGGAAAAGGTGCTAAGTTGCAGGCCAAAACATCTGGAAGAAAAGATGCTCCTACTAACAATCCCCCATCCATTATCGCTGTGCATTACAATTATAAATTATTTGTGTTGATTGCCATTATGGTAAAAAAGAAAAAAAGGAGTAAGGGAAGCACTGTATAGTGGATACCCATATTAGTGTAGAGGGTTGTGATGTGGTCTGTTTTAGAAACAGCAATTCATAAGGAGCCTCCCAGGCCATCTAGTCTGACCCTTGGCTCTACCTGGCTCCGCTCATACAATGTCCAGCCTGTCCTTGAACACCCTCCCTGATGGGGCTTCAACCACCTCCCGAGGAAGCCCTTCTATATCCTGGGGTCCTAACCATCAGGAAGTACTTCCGGACAGCCAACCTGAAACCTGGTTCCTTGAGCTTCGCCCCATTGGGATGCGTCTCGCCCTCCACTGCAGGGAAGAACAGCTCCCGGCCCTCCTCCACATGACACCTCCTCGCATACCCCCAAGATCCCGTCTGCTCTTCTCCAGGCTGAAAAGGCCCAGCCCCCTCAGTCTCTCCTCATAGGGCTTCCCCTGCAAATCAGCCACCATCCTTGTGGCCCTTCACTGCACTGATTCTAACCTAGCTAAGTTTCTCCTATAATGTGGAGCCCAGAATTGGACACAGTGTTCCAGTTGTGGGCACACCAAAATAATGTAGAACAGTATCAACACCTACCTTGATCTGGAAGCCATGGTTCTGGGTATCCATCCAAGGATGGGGTTTGTTTTCTCATGTGGAGAGCAGCACTTGTGAAAGGGACCTCGGGGTGCCGGTTGACTGCAGGCTGAACATGAGCCAGCAGGGTGATGCGGTGGCCAAGAGGGCGAGCGCCACCCTTGGTTGCATAGCCGGAAGTGTGGCTTCTAGATCGAGAGAGGTATTACTGCCACTCTAAATGACTCTGGTGCGCCCGCAACTGGAGTATTGTGCTCAGTTCTGGGCCCCTCATTACAGGAAGGATATAGCCAGGTTGGAGTCAGTGCAGCGTAGGGCCACAAGGTTGGTGGCCGGATTGCAGGGGAAGCCGTATGGGGCGAGACTAAGAGGACTAGGTCACTTCAGCCTGGAGGACACTCTGAGGGGATCTGTTGACGACATGCAGGTATGTGAGGGGGTGTCACACGGAGGCGGGTAGACGTGTTTTCCCCTGCAAAGGAAGGCAGGACGCGCTCCAACAGAGTGAAGCTCAGGGAAACCAGGTTCCATTTAGATGCCAGGAAGCACTTCCGACAGTTAGGAACCTGAGGCCATGGAATGGGCTTCCTCGGGAGGTATTTGAAGCCCCATTGGTGAGGATGTTCAAGTATAGGCTAGACATGCACCTGGTGGGCATGTCATGAGTGGAGCTGGGGGTCAGACTACATGGCCCGGGAGGCCCCTTCCGACTCGCTCTGGTTCTATGTTCAGCCTGCTGTCAACCAACACAGGAGCCATTTCACAAATGCTGCTCTCCAGCCACTTGTCTCCCATCCTGTACCTGTGCCACCTATTCCTGTGTCCCAAGTGCAAGACCTTGCACTTGTCCACATTGAATGCCATCCTGTTGCCCCCCACCCACTTCCCCAGCCTGTCCAGATCCTTCTGGATCTGGATCTCCTGCTCCTCAGTTGCGACCACTGTCCCCACCTTGGTATCATCTGTGAATTTAGTCAGCAGGCTGGTTATCCCTTCCTCCGGGTCACTGATAAAAAGTTTGAGCAGACTTGGTCCCAGCACTGAGCCCTGGGGGACCCCACTTGCCACTGGCTGCCATCCTGCTGATTCCCCACTCATAGTCACATGCTATCAGTGCATGAGTTTCATTATTAGTTGCAAAATTGCCTGAGAAACTTAGTACTATTTAGAAAACTATCATGAAATGCTTGGGTTTTATTTTATCTCATTTGTTCCATTCAGTGCAGTAATCAGCTAAAATTTTATCAAAATGCAACATCTTTATCAGAAAAGTCACCACCAAAATAACAGTCAGGACCTTGATCAGCTAACCTGATTATATGACAACTCAGCGCCAAAATACTTATGTACAATTGCTGCGAAGACAGCAGCAGAACTTTAAAACTTTGTTCATTGTGGGAAACAAAAAGTTCTGACTGTGCAATTTTGCATATGTCTGTTCTAGCGAAAGCCTCAGTAAATTTAGTGGGTTCATTTCTAAGAATCTGTGCACAGGAGTAAAGCCCTTGCTTGGCATGTATGGATAAGCAAAAATCTCATGTTTGTGTACTAAGTTAACATATCCACGGACAGACAGTGGCGAAGACACTAACCACTGGTATGAAGCTTGTGTTGTGGTACTGTTGGAACACTTCTCAATCAAAATGGAAATATGTATTCACCACACTCAAGTCAGGCTTGAGTCTGTGGAGGGGGGATAAAAACTCATACCTTTTACAAGATCCCTGGAAGTACCATGGCAAGTAGCCACCTCAAACAGTTCTAAAAAAGCAAACGACTCGCATGATTGCTAACATGAAGGAAGGTGTGGGCCAGCTGTTTGCTATTCCTGGGGGACACAAACTGATCGGATGAGCAACTCCTGTTTCCAGGCACTGCCACTTCCTGCCTGCTTTTCCTGTGGACCATGCCACCTTTCAGACTACAGGCCTGAAAGGAAGAACTGCCCACTTCTAAGATGCATCCCCTTTCAGGCATACATAAATGATAGCAAATGAAGGATCAGAATGCACGGCACTGGTGTAACCGCCAGAGTGCATTTTTAGCAAAACTGAGAAAACTTAAGTGTTGAAATGCCTCTGTTCTCCAAGATGCACACAGAACAGGTAAGCTGCTTTTTAACCATGGCCAGTCTTGCTGGCAAAGCAAAGGGAGGGAAACTGAACTGTTCAGTTTCTGTGTGTCACGACTGAAAGGCAGACCGAATAAGGCAAAGGGGCCCTCTGAAGCCCAAGCATCTTTTCTAGACCACAGATCTGAAGTACCATGTGGCTGAGAGGCAGCCAGATCTGCTCTGAGGGCACAACAGAAAGGAGGTTCCCCTGCAGAAGCTCCTGAAGGAAGAAACTCTCTCCTGGGGCTTCCATACCAATGGGGCTCAAGCAAGAGAATTTCCCACCAGATCCTTGCCCACATACATTAGAAGGAAGCATGGCAAGGGTGCCATTTACGATCCCCATCTCAAGAACTTGGCCATATTTCTCTCGCGCTCTGGCGATGCTGAATCAGTTCTCTCTGGCTAGAGACCCCAGTCGCTTGTGCTGAATGGAAGGTAAAGGGGACAAGGGCTCCGACCTTCAGGGACTGCAGTGGCCGTGCACGAGCTGGGCCTGCCCGAGGGCGGAAGCCCTGTGAGAGCATGGGGGCCATTCCTTGTGCCAAGCAAAGCACAGCAGGAGAAGAGTCGTCTGAGGCGGCACTCGCTTTCTGGACGGGCGGCTGACTGTTGGGAGCTGCACCCTACAGCTTGGTGGGTTCCTGGGCAGGGGGCCCGTCCTCCTTGGCCCGCACCATCGCGGGAGTGGGCAGGATGAGTGGCAAGGGGTTGGGGCCTCGCTCGTGCCAGCACATGTCCAGGATCGGGTACAGCTTGCCCTGGAACTCTGCCTGAAAGGTGTAGAGGTGCGCCAGTTCGTCTGGGCTGTCGGCGTTGTAGAAGGTGAGCTCCCCCTTCTCGTAGTGCAGGAAGACGCCGATGCAGCGGGGGGGGCGCGGAGAGGGGGAGCACCACGCGGGGGCTGCTGAAGGCCTCGTAGACCTTGCCCTCCTTCAGGCCAATGAGCCACACGCCGTGCTCGGGGCTCTTGGTCAGCTTGCCCTTGCGGCTGACTGTGGCCTTGATGACGCCCAGACGCCAGTGGCTCCTGGGGCCCACAATGACCTCCCAGTAGTGCTTCCCCCAGGAGAAGCCCCTGTCGGCCAGGATGCAGTTGCTGCAGTCGAAGCGGTCAGGGCTGCTGCCCCGCCGCTGGAAGAGCAGGCCACACTGCACCACGGTGTTCCCCTTGGACAGCTGCAGCGCGGGGTGGGCGCTCGTGGGGTCCAGCTTCAGCGTCTCCGGAGCTGTGGGGAGGGGTGCAGATGAGGAGAGTCTGGAGGGCCCTGGCAGGCCGGACTGAGGCGGTGCAGCCACCTCGGTCGTGCAGAGATGGAGCAGTCGTCTCCAGGGGCGCCACCAAAACCACCCACCGGGCGGCAGCTGCCACGTGGCGGAGCTGTGCCCCAAACAGCCACCACCGAGGGGCCCCGAGCGGTCTGCATCCCACGCAGCTATCGTGCGTTAACCACAATCACACCCAGCTCCCTCCGCAACACAAGTGTGTGCATGAAAACACGCCCAGAGGAGTCCCCCAGGCATTCAGCAGCCGTACCTGGGAGGACCTTGCGCAGCAGACGCTTCCACACCATCATCTTGACGTCGTCCTGGTGGAAGCCGGGCTTGAAGGAGACGGCACTGAACGTGCCTGTGGCTGGGTGCTGCTGCAGCATGGCCCTGGGAGCACAGGGGCCGCCGTTACTCCTCTCCCCACAGAAAAGAATCGCGTACAGCTTGCATTCAGACCTCACACTCTCACCAGGAGCCCAAGGCAGCCCCCCTGGTCGTCCTTGTCTCCATTTTATCCCCACGACAGCTCTGGGGGGGGGGCGGGGGGGCTCGGCTGCAGGTGTTAGGGAGCGGTAGGGCAGAGCAGGGGCCAGAGCCTCCCGCCTGGGCCCAGGAGATTCAGAGCGATGCTGGCTGGCACCCTCCTCTTCGCAGCAAGGCCAAGGGGACCCGCAGCGCAAAGCTCGAGCACCCGTCTTGTGGGCAGAAGAGCACCAGTTCCCCCTGCAGCACCTACGGGAACGCCGCCCCCGGGGCCTGGAAGAGTTAGCCTGCACACCGTCTGTGTCTTCGTGCCGTCTGCTCCAGGAGGCGGTGGCTCTCCCTTGCTGGAGGCCTCGCTTCAGGAATGCTGGAGTGGCACCCTGCACGGCAGAAGCCGCCTTGGGCCAGGGGCTGGGCTGGGGTGGACTCCAGGGTCCCCTTCAGCACCAGCAGCACGAGCACAAGCACGAGCGAGCCCCACCGAACCTGCTGGGTTCTCCGCAAGTCAATGCACACGGGCAGCCAGACTAGCCACAGTCCCACCGTGCCGGTGCTTCGGTTCAGTCCTCTGCACGTACGGACAGCAAGGAGGCCTACAGCTCCCAGCGTGCCCCACCCAGCCACGCTGCCTGGGGCATGCTGGGCACGGCAGGGCCCTCCTCTGTCCCGGCAAGGACAGGACTGCAGCTTGTGCAGGCCTTTGGACGTGCTGAGACGCCGAGTGCCGAGACGCCTTCCTGCAAGCCCCCACTTGGCTTTGGAAGAACTGGGGCACCCATTCCATGGAAAAAGAGCATCACGCAGAATCAGCTAGAGATGCGTCGGGTCTGCTCGGCCTCGTCTCCACCGCGTGTGCACCAGCACATTCTGTATGCTGGGCAGCGCCCACACCCGCCCGCTCGCTTGCTCTCCCGTTGCACGTACCTGGAGGGAAGGGATCCGTATTTCTGTAAAACAAAAGATACAGGAAGACTAAGAGCTGTGCTTCTCAAGGATGCACTCCAAGCGACAGGACAGTGAAGGGGGTGGCAACGAACGGCGTTCGAGAGCAACTCTACCCGCAAGGAATGCCCTGCACATCTCTGAGGCGGGAGCTGGGAACGGTGCCCCTGGAGGAAGGGCTCTGTCCCCAGGAAGTAACTCCACCCAATATGGGTCTCATGTGAGCACACAGAGGAGTCCCTTAGCGCGCACAAGAGGAGGAAACTGTCCATGAGAACCAGAGCATCGACCAAGATTGTTTCTGGGGTCAGCAGAACAAACTCTGCTCCCCACTCTCACAGATGCTGAGAGTAAGAATGGATCAGATAAGAAGATGCAGAGAAGACGAAACAGAGGCGCGAGAACAGGACAATTTGAGAGTAAACATGAAAACAGTCTCTCAGTCTTCTGATATGGAATGTGAGAACCAGATAGACAAGGGACAAGGGGAACTTGAGGATGCTGGTTCTCGCAGGCGCACCTGCAGACTGGGACAGCTGGAATCTAGACTGACTGAACGAGGCAGAGAGAGGGGTCACGTGGAGGGTTCATAAACCAAGTGGGGGCTGAACTAAGAACGAGAACAACTTTCTGTCCCCTTTGAGTGTACATGTGAAGCTGTTTAGAATGAAGACATTTGCAGTATCAGCAGGAGCAACTGCTTTCACTGGGAAGGAGCGCCAGCCTCACGACGACGGGAACGCGTCGACATCACTTGGCCAGGCCACAGCCCCCTGCCCCTCCATGGGTCCGCTGGGGGGGCTGGCGGCTCTTGCGTAGGAGCGGGGACACCTGCTTCATCCAGCGGGGCTGCCCCCGCCCCCGCCCCAGGTAGGGCTGGGTCTTCCGCATCTCTGGCTCATATGGCTGAGGACTAGAACAGCCTTGTCCAGCCTGATGCCCTCCAGGTGAGGCACAGTGGCCAGGGATGATGGTGGCTGGAGGCTGACGCACTCCAGTGGGTTGGAAGAGGCTGCCCACGGGTACCCTCCTGGGCACGGCGAGTCCTGCCGACGCGGTCCCGGGGACCCCCCTGCTCCCGCAGCTTAGATCCTGCTTGCAACTAACGCAGGGGCTGGCAGCCGGCAGTCCCCCAGGTGCTTTGGCCCGCAACTCCCACCAGCCACGGCTAGCAGAGCCGGTGGGGGGCGGGGGGGCGATAGCCCAAGCACTGGAGGGCCACAAGGTGGAGGGCATGCCCAGGCCCCTCTGCCCTCTCTGAAACATGGCAGGCAGGGATATCCCTGATGGTCAGAGGCCTGCAGCCAGCCAGCTCCCGCCCCACCGCTGGTCCGCTTCTTCCGAGACCCCTTGCACGAGCTCCCACAGCTCGTCTGGCCAGGCCCTGGAATCCTCTCAGGCCTGCTCTGCATGTGTCTGGCGAGGCCATTTAGCTTTATAGCCTCAGGGATCTCCTGGTCTCCAGGCAGGCAGGCTGTCTATCCATGGCTATCTGTCCATGGCTATCAGAGCTGCCACTTGCCCCTGCACACCAGCTGATGGGGAGGGGCTGCGGCACTCCTCCCCCAGCCACGGGCTTCCTGCTGGGGCAGCTGGGGCGCAGAAAAGGCCTGGCGGAATGGGCCGTGGTCCCGCCCCGCCCCGCCCCAGGCTCCCCCCAGGCTCCGCAGGCGCTAGTGCTTGTGTGCGCACCCGGATGAATCCCAGCTGGCCTTCGTCATTGAGTCTGTGCAGGTAGCTCTCCAGCTCCTTCAGCTTCTGCAGGGTGTCTGCGGCCTGCTTCACCTGGATCTCCAGGGATGCGACAAGGTGAGCCGTGTCCCGCTCGATCCACTCCATCAGCCGGGCCTTCTCCTCGTCGATGGACCTGTGCAGGTCCTGGAACTGTTTCCGGATCACCCATTTGAAGACATCCGATTCGTTCTGAGGGAGGGAGACCAGCACCACGGTTACCCCCGAGGACGATGCAGGGCCTGCCTTGAGATGGGGTTCACCCAGGGGGCGCGAGGGGGGCAGTGAGGGCAGACTCCGGTGTCTCCCCGAGGGGCAAAGGAGCAACCTGCTCCTCCAAGTGAGCGTGGCGGAAAGCCAGCCCTGTCGCCTGCTTTCACCCAATGTCCTTGGCAGCAAGAGCGCAGAGCTAAGGCGCCAGGCTGGAGCCAGCCTCCCGCAAGGTCAATATTGACAGTGGCCGTCAGGTGGTTTGCAAAGGCTGGCTGGACACGTGGTGCGCTTGTTGTGGGCGAATCTTAGAAAAGCGTCTCACGAGGCAGCCCAGCGACTTCCTTGCCAACACAATTGCAGCACACTGATCCAGGGAGAGTGCCTTTTCCCAGCCGTCGCCCTCCCTTCTGCCCTGGAGAACTTTCAGCCCCCGCTAGACTCAGGCATGACCTTGAAACCAAATCTCTTTAAGCAAATACTTTCAGGGCACAATCCTGTGCAAGCGGAGGCAGCAAAAAGGCTCAAAGCTCCCAGCTTGCCCCAGCCGGCACACTTGGGAGACGGAGGCCTCGTTGCTCTCCCAGCTTGCACAGAAGAGCACCTGTACCTCCATGCAAGCATTCACAGGCCTCTTTGCCTACCCCGGCCCCCCCACAGACACCACTTTTAAATTTTACCCCTTGCCTAGAAGGGTTCCATTGGCTGCACGCCCTGTGGGAAAAGAGCTGTGATGTGTTGATGCCCATTTAAGGTTATTCAACAAAAGATGCGAGGGTGATTTAAAAGCTACACCTGATTGTGAAATGAAATCTGAACACTGTAGAAATTGGTGACTGTTTCTAGAGCAAAACAAGGAGAATTTCCCTCCCGCTCCGTTTGCTCTGAGGCCGACGCCTGCGCTACACTAAGGCAGGGCTGAAGAAGCAGCCGTTCCGCACCGGGGCAGCTGCCTTCCCTTTTAAGTTGCTGAGGCCGCCCTACCTTGAGCTGGGGGACGTCTGGCTGCACATCACCAAATGCAGAAAGCATCTGTGTGCCATGAATTGGCTGCAGCCACCAAGAGCCCTGTGGGACACAGCTGCTGCACATCCCCCAGTATGTAGGGATACACGCCCCACCTCTGCCTTCGCTATGCCAGCACCTGCTGCAGCAAACAGCTCACGCAACGCCCTTTCCGATCATCCCAGGATGCATGGCGGGTCGCCATCTGCAGGGGAACCTTCCCGACAGGCCCACCGTGTGATGCGCCTCTCTCCCCTCCTCACATGACACACTTGCTTGGCAAAGCAGAGCCACCCCCGCGCCGGTGCTGCCTCAAGCGCCAGGGGACGCGGGCACACTGGGCCCCAGGCACCGGCCGGCCGTACCGTGATGCGCGTTTTGTTGTTCACCAGCTTGCTGACGTGCTCTTCCAGACCTCTCTCCTGGTTTTGGATCTTGGTCATCAACACTGAGAGCTCCTCCTGAGGCAACAGAAACGCTTTACTTAGCCAGACGGAGGGACGGGGGCCACCCATCCTGGCCCGAATGTTGTTTCCAGACAGGCGCCTCTCAAAACTCACCAGCAGGGCAGGAAGAAAGATGATATCCAGCCCCACAACATACTGATTTCAAAAGGGATCCCTGCCCCATCCCTCTAAGCACCGCTTATATACCACCAGTGTGTCCCTGAGTATGGGGAGATTCCAGGGGTGAGAAAAGTACTCCTATCCTTCCAGGCTCCTCCTCGCACTTGCAAGAGCCTCGGGTCACTCAGGAAGTCTGCAGGAAAAAATTTGCCCTGTGTTTAATTTGAGCCAGAAGCCCAACACTGAACCCCTTTTAAATGGCAAGTTCCAGTCCAGGCCTAGAATAATCGAAGTAAATATTAAAAATTGTTATAACCTGCTCCAGTCTCCCGGGCAGTTTACATAAATGTGAGAGTATGCCATTGAGCATGTGCAAAGTGTAGGAAACCACAGCCTGCTCAGGAATTTGGGTTTCACAGGGGAGGGCAGAGTTCAAGCTCAGAACTTATAGTGTTCCAGACTCTGGTCTTTCCCAGCGTCCAGCTATTTGCCACGTACTGCCCTCCAAACACATCCCATTTCTGGGTAAGAGAACTTTGTTTACCGCTGGCTTTATCGCTTGTCCTCCCCAGTATCAGGCAGTCCCAGGAGCCAGAGAGCTGCAGGCTTTGCTTTCCCATTTCCATGACCCTCTAAAGGGATGACTCCTTGTTTCCATCGGGGCCGGTTCTGCTATTCATGAGCATGTCCTGCTGCTGCCCTTGACCTCGATCCACTTGCAGTCACCCTTCTTATCTGCATGTGCTTCCTTTCCTCCCCCCACACACACTGCACACCTGCCAAGCGCGGGGAAGCACGCCGGATTCTCACCTGGATCTTAAATGGGGTTGCTACCCTCACAAGAATGCCTTGCTTGCCTCGCCTCGCCTCGCCAAGGGTAGCCATGGGGCATTTCCCGAGGAAAGCACCTCTGAGCCCCCGGGGTCTGCAGGCAGCCCCCTCCTCCTGCTGCCATCCAGGCATGCAGGAATGCAACTCATGCCACTCCCAGCCAGCGCAGCGGCTGGGTATTGTTGGCCAGCATGTCTGGAGGGCACCTGGCCTTGCCTGGACTGAGCGTAGTTTTCCATGGTGTCCTTCCTCTCTTACTAGCACTTCCCATCTCTGCAGATGTTTTCTCAGCACCAGAGCAAATACACAGGATGGCCAGAGCATGCTCAGACCATGGGGAGTGGCCCAGACTCAGTTTTGCTATGGTACCTAACTTCTGCTGGGCTGGACAGAGGCCCACCAGATCCATCTCACCCAGCGACCAACAGGTGGGCCTCCCGTCCGCCTGCACCTGGCCTCACCACACCCCCTCCCCTCCCCTCCCATGCACACAACTCGCCTTCATCCGGCTGTAGACTGTGGTGACAGGGATGATTTTGTGGTGCTGGTGGACGCCAAAGATGCAGCAAGACCCACAGATCACCTCCTGGTCCTGCTCACAGAAGTGCTTGAGGGTGTCCCGGTGGAGGGGGCAGCACTCTTCGTTTGGGTCTGAGCTGTCAGTGCTCTGCAGCAGCAGCTGGATGATGCGGTCCAAGTCAACGTTGGGTGGGGAGCTGCTGCAGTCCACCGGCGTCCGGCACACGGGGCAGAGGAACGGCCTGGCCACGTCACCCGCGGCTGCCAGCACCATGCACGACTTGCACAAGGAGTGGCCACACTGCAGCATCAGGGGCTCCTTGAAAAGCTCCAAGCAGATGGGGCACAGGAGCTGGTCCTCCAGCTGGTCGACACTCATCTTCCGAGCCATCTTGCCCTCTTCCTTCCTCCCCTCCTCAACTCAGTCCCAGAGATGCAACACTTGCTGTGGGAACAGGAAGCGGTGATGAGTCGAACTCTTACTCATTCCTGGGGAGGAACTGGTTGCCTGCAGCAACAGTGAATGAGGCGAAGAATAGGAAAGTGGGTGAACAAACCCACCCGTTTTGGTTTCTCCATTTCTCAGTTTCTCAGTCTTCCACTTGGTTCACTCTGAACACTGAGATTATTTTGTTTGAAAGAACATTCATACACAGATCTTAGTATGCTTCTCTGAAAACATGTTTCTGTATGCAATTTTTCCACAAGGAAACACAATCACGACGACAACACTGTGCATCCGTGCAGTGCCTGCAGCATGGGACTTTCTGTGTATGGCATCATGTCAGATTCTTTGCTACAACTGTGTAAGGTACGACTGTAGGATCATCCCTGCACTGCTCTGCCTCGGGGGCTACCTTCAGGGCGTTCAAAAGCAAGGATTAAAACAGGCACCTTTCTGAGCCCTTGCATGGCACGACAGGAAGCCTCTACAGCAATAGTCCCTGAATTGGCACCCTGAAGGTATCCCTCCAATGGCCATGTTAGGTGGGGATGGTGGGACGCGCAGGCCAACCCAACTGCAGGACACCACTTCAGGGAAGATGCTCTGGCAGATGTTTTCCCGGAATCCCCATGAGCGCAATGCACGAGTCCGGCTGCCAACTGCTACCCCCGTTTGCCTCTTCCGTGGCCGTGACCCCGGGGCCCTGCACCCTGCCCTACCTTCCGCAGCTCAGCTGCTCTCCTTCGGCTCGCCGGCTCACTGCCCTCGTTCCGCCATCCGAGCACTGAAAGAAAGGGCCGGGCTGCTGCTCTCCTGGCCACTTGCAAGTAATGGCATGGCCAGCAAAGGCAACCCACGCGAAGACCGCCGCCTCCTTGGTGGGGAGAGCGGCTGTGCCACCTGCTCCCCCCGCGAGCGGCATTCAGGGACGCATCCGTGCAGCAGGGGCAGCGCTCCTCCCGAGGCACACCTTCCCGCGGGGATGCAAGGACCTGCTCGCGGCACCGCTCGCGCCAGCAGCAGCGCCCCGGGAGAAGGCGAGGCGAACACGCCCGCCCGCCCGCCGTTATCTGGCGCGCCGGCCGTGCAAAGCGGCTGCTCTCTCCGTCGCCTCTGCCCGCCTCCGGGGCAGGGCCCGGGCAGCCCGCCTGCGGAGGCCACGTGCGGGGCCCTGACTCGGCTCTGCGCGGCGACCGAGGCGGCTCTGCCAGGAGCGTGCGGCAGATCCCGCCGGGGCCCGGGGAGGGAGCGCGGCCGCGGCCGCCCTGCGAGGGGAGCAGCGCCGGGCGGCCGCTCGCGGGCGACCCTCCAGCGCCAGCGCCATCTCCAGCCGGCACGACGAGACGCCGCGCCCGCGCCGCGGACTCCTCCCGGGGCGGCGACTGCCCCGCCCGCCGGCCGAGGCCGCACGCGGCGAACCCGGCAGCTCGCCGCAGCGCGCGCCTCTGCAGCAAGTCTAGCGACTTCCGCGCACGCTGCCCCGCCGCGGGGGCGCCCGGCCTGCGGCGCATGCGCGCTGGGGCCTGCGAGTGCTCCGGCGGGATGCGGCGGCGGCGAGCGGGCCCGGCCGGGCTGTACGGCGCGGCGGCCTCGGTCCTGGCGCGGCTGGAGCGCCGGGAGGGCGCCCTCAAGACGCTCGTCTACGGGAGCGGCTTCCAGGTGCGTAGGGCTTCTGGGCGCTGTGCGTTACAGCCCTCGATATCCGGCACCGAACGGAGTTTCCTCCCTCCCCCAGGCCGGGGACTCTTCTGATGCGCTGAACTGTGCAACTCCTAGCATCCGCAGCCAGCCTGCGCGGGGGAGGCTGGGAGTCGCAGTGCAACCCATCGAGACGGGCTGGCTCTGATGCGATTCTGGCCTGTGATTTCCCGTCCAGAGTTGCGAGGTTTCTTCTAGGGCAGCAAGCAGTTTGCCCGGGCTTGAAGCGGCCTCCTCTCTTTCAGAATGCCCGGCTGCTGTATGCCCTTGTTTCAGAGACGGTTCGCTATTCTCCTGTGCTGGACTTGATCCTAGATGCTTCGGGGTTGATCCAGGCCGAAAAGAAGCTGCAGCCACAGCTGGCCAAGGTGAGCTGGAAGAATGGGGGGGCTGCCCTGTCCCTTCCTCTCTTATGGACACCCCTTCGGTGTGCCATCAGCCGGTTCACAGAGAAACGCAAGAAAAGCCCTCCTGAATCAGAAAAAAGGTCCATCCAGTCCAACACATTGTCCACACAGTGGCAAACCAGCTGCCACAAGCAGGATCCCTCAAGCAGGATGAGTGCAAGACGACATGCTGCCCAAGCTCCTCAGCAATGGGTGCATGCAGGCATATCACCTCTGCTAAAGGATGTAGTGCCTAGTGAGGCTAGTAGCCACGGAGAGCCTTTGCCTCTGGGAATCTTTCCAATCCCCTTTTCAAGGTGCATTGATAGCCATCACCACTTCCTGTGGCAGTGAATAAATTCCATAGTTTAACTATATGCTGTGTGAAGAAGTACCTTCTCTTACCTGTGGTAAACCTCCCACCTTCATGGTATATGCCCAGCTTTGAGTGTTATGGGAGAGAGAGAAATGTTGTCCTCTCCACCTTCTCTACTCTGCACATAATTTTAAACACCTCTGTCACATCTCCCCTTATTCACCTTCTAAGCTGAACAGTCCCAGATTTTGCTCCTGTTCCTCATAGGGAAGATGCACCAACCCCTTGATTATTTTTGTTGCTCTTTTCTGTATTTTTCCCCAGTCTAACAATGTCCCCATTCAGGTGAGGCAACCAGAGCTGAACACGGTAGTCTCAAGGGTAGTCACATCAAGGATCTTGGCAGTTATATTTTTTATTCAATTCCCAATTATGACTGTCATGGGAATTCCATGTTCTTCACAGCTGCCATGCACTTAGGCCAACATCTTCATCCACTATCACCCCAAGATCCCTTTCTTCCTCTGTCACTGTTAGTTCAGGTTCTTTGAAGTTGTTAAGAATGCTAGCCCAGGTGCTGGCAGTGGGACGCCCACCAAGATATGCAAGTGTGCTTTCAAGATGTCTCCACCCAACATTCATAGAATCATAGATTAGTAGAGTTGGAAGGGGCCATGAAGGCCATCGAGTCCACCCCGCTGCTGTTGCAGGACACCAAGTCACACCGTCCCACTCAGGTGGCTGCCCAGGTTCTTTCTGAATGTCTCTAGCGTGGGAGAGCCCACCGCCACTCTGGGCAGCTGGTTCCACTGTCGTATTGCTCTGACAGTGAGGAAGCTTTTCCTGATGTCCAGCCTGAATCTGCGTTGTCACAACTTGAATTGATTATTCCGTGTCCTACACTCTGGCATCATCAAGAAGAGATCCTGACCTTTTTCTTTGTGACAGCCTTTGAGGGAGATCCCCCAGCAGAAGGATGAAGTGCAGCTTGCCCTGTGGGGACTTGGTGGGGCTTCCAGGAGATCCCTGGAGCAGGCCTGTGATCGCTTCAGTCTGCCTGCCAGATGTCCACTGACAGTCTTTGGTGGCTCTGCTTGCTTTTATCTCTTTATTCCTGCTGAGAAAGGGGTTTGTTTACTCTGTGAGTAGTTACCCTTTCCCTTTCTTCTGAAAAATCCACCAGCAACCTTCTTTCTGTGGCCACATTGGGGGCCTCATCTTGCTTCCTGCTAACATTTTGAAAATGGCTGTACCAGTTCCGACAGCTGTTCTGTGATGGCTTCCACAGTTTGTTCTCCAAATGGGAATTGGGCCCCAGTCAGCACTCCTGTCGGCACCATCTGTGCAGATGTCTTGGACTGCAGCTACCATCTTTTCCAGCCTGCATGGCTGATGATCAGGGATGATGGGAGCCGTGCTCTGAAAGCATTTGGAGGGCCCACCCCGTAGGCCCAGTTCAGCAGAGGTCTCCCTGGTCCTGCCCTATAGGAGAAAGCTGTACCGTTGTTCCTTGCTGAGGTATGCTGCTCTCTTCCCCAGGTGCTGGTGTACGACCTGCTCTTTGGCAAGGGGGTGCATGGTGGGGGGCGTGGGAAGGCCCTGGTGATGAAGCACCGTGCCCGGCTGCAGGCAGAGCTGGCCCGCCTGAAGGTGCAGAAGAAGGTGAGCCACAACGAAGACCTGCTGCCACCCACAGCAGCCGCCGACCAAGGTGTGTGCCAGACGGTGGGGCCTTCGCAACCGCAGGTAGACGTCGGTTGATAAGGCAGGCGCCGAATTCGGCAGGTCTCAGGCCGCAGCTTCTCCTGCCTCCCTTGGTGCTTTGGCGCAAAACTGCTGGCTGCACCCAGCTTCCAGGGAATGGAAGGGGCAGGAGCCAGCAAGCCCCTGCGCAGCCCCCTGGCAGCCTGGGTGCGGGGTCTGTCCCAGTTTTGCTAGGCCATGCTTCCAGCTGTGCAGATACGGGCAGAGGAAAGCATCTCACAGAGAGACGGCCGTCCTGATTTCAGAACCAAGTGCTGCAATCCCTTCCTTTCCAGGCTCTCGGGTGCCACGCTATGTCCGCGTAAACTTGCTGAAAACATGTGTGGATGATGTGGTGGATTACTTCAAGCGCCAGGGCTATGCCTATCAAGGCAAAGCAGCCAGGTAGGTATGCCCTGGGCTACCTCTTTACTGAGGAACCAGTCCCCTCCCTCCCTGACAGATTGGACCACTGTGCTAAACCAGGGATGAGTCGCTTTGGCAGGGTCAGGGGCCACTCCCCCCCCCCCCCCCAGGCTCACTGCCACGTTGCTGCATTTCTGAAGGCACGTATCTCCTGTGTACCTCATCCTCAAGCAGAACGGCTGTGTTTGTCCAACTGCTGCTGCCATGTGGTGACAAGCCAGTTTCGTTTCTTGCTGCTAACACAGAAACAGCGCGAGTCAGGAGGGGCTTCCTGGGCCATCTAGTCTGACCCCCGGCTCCAGCCGGCTCCGCTCACAACATGCCCACCATTTGTATGTCAGCCTATCCTTGAACACCCTCCTCGATGGGGCCCCAACCACCTCCCGTGGAAGCCCATTCCACACCCTCGGGGTCCCAACTGTCAGGAAGGGCTTCCTGGCATCCAAATGGAACCTTGGCTCCCTGAGCTTTGCTCCCTTGGAGCGCTTCCTGCCTTCCTTTGAAGGGGAGAACAGGTCTCTACCCACCTCTGTGTGACATCCTCTCACATACCTGCATGTCGCCAACAGATCCCCCAAGTCTCCTCCAGGCTGAAGAGACCTGGCTCCCTCAGCCTCTCCTCATGTGGCTTCCCCTGCAAACCGGCCCCCAACCTTGGGGCCCTTTGCTGCACTGACTCCAACCTGACTATATCCTTCCTGTAATGAGGGGCCCAAAACTGAGCACAATACACCAGTTGTGGGTGCACCAGAGTCGTACAGAGTGGCAGGCATACCTCTCTCGATCTAGAAACCACACTTCTGGCTATGCGACCAAGCGTGGCGCTCGCCCTCTTGGCCACCGCATCACCCTGCTGGCTCATGTTCAGCCTGCAGTCAACCAGCACCCTGAGGTGCCTTTCACAAGTGCTGCTCTCCAGCCACTTGTCCCCTAACCTGCACTTATGACACCCATTCCTATGCCCCAAGTGCAAGACCTTGCACTTATCCACGTTGAACGCCACCCTGTTGTCCCCCGCCCACTTCCATAGTCCGTCCAGATCCTTCTGGATCCGGAGTACCTGCTCCTCAGTTGTGGCCACTAACGAATGCTGATGGTTGTTGCTGGGGGCGGCATGGCAGCGTGGGCTGCAGAGGAGGTGCCAGGGTGCATGAATGCTGGCAGCGGCCCACCTCTCTGCTTCCGCACCGGTTCGGTGTTGGGATGACAACATTTCTGCTGGCTCCTCCTCTGGTGTGCCCACAAAGAAGAGAGTGGAACATCCCGTTTCCCTTTTAGACGGATTGGCAAGGTTTCGGTGGCTTGTGGCCCCGGCTGGCGTGGGGGGAATTCTGGTTGGAGGGCTTGGAAGGCTCTTGCAGCCCAGCCCCTGTCTAAATGCAGAGCCTGTGGCAGGCACCCTTGCGCTGAGTGGGGACAGGCCCGTGAGGGCTGCGGGGCCTCCCTGAGGCTGTGTGGGGAGCGGACCGAGCCCTCGAGCCCAAGGGCTGCTCAGCCGCTCCTAGCAAGGCCAGTGCATGGCGTCTCCTCGAAGAGGCGAGAGGCTGCATGCCTGCTCGGGGTCCCTGGGACTCTGCCGCGCTCTCGGGAGGAGAGGGCTTTGCCCTCGGGGACGAGCGCTTGCCTCTGCGCTGGCGGGGTGACCCCGCTACTCTCTCAGTGACCGGTTCCATCTTGGTCTTCTCTTCAGTCTGGAGGAGGTCAGCTCCTTGTCAGGAAAGAAATTCCTCCTGGATATGGACCTTCCGGAGCTGCTGATCTTCCCTCCGCAGACAGATCTTCACCAAGACCAGCTCTATGTGGCCGGGCACATCATTCTTCAGGACAAGGTGAGCGGGGCTGGGCCACCTCTCTGCTGAGGCAAGAGGAGAGGCAGCCGGCTGGGACTTGCAGGGCTCCGTATGTGGGGGTGGGAGGGAGGAGGAGCGTGAGAGCCCAGTGCCAAAACTCACCTGTTCTTCTTCTGCCCAAGCCTGGGAACAGCTCACCTGGGTGCAGTGCACGTTGGCCCTCCGTAAGCTGAGGCCAGGGCTTTCTGAGGCCTGTGTGTCTGTTCCAGGCCAGCTGCCTCCCTGCTTTCCTCCTGGATCCCACGCCAGGATCCTGTGTGATCGATGCGTGTGCTGCCCCTGGCAACAAGACCAGCCAGCTCGCTGCTGTGCTGAAGAACAAGGGGTAAGAGAGCCAGCCAGAGTGGCCATGGAGGGGTGCCTGTGCTGTGGAGAAGCAGCCCGCGAGCTGCCCAGCGTCCTCCTGGCTCCTCATGCCTGTGGCGTCATCTCTCACCTCCATACACAGCCAGATCTTTGCTTTTGACCTGGATTCGGCGCGCCTGGCCACCATGAGCAGCATGCTGGTCCGGGCAGGAGTCACCTGCTGCCAACTAGCCCACCAAGACTTCTTGGCCACAGATCCCGCTGACCCAAAGTACAGCAAGGTGCAGTACATTCTCCTGGACCCCTCATGCAGCGGATCCGGTGAGCGAGGCTGTGGGCTCCAGCTTGATGCTTTGCCAACCACACAACCACTGGGGGAAGGAGCAAGGCTCTCGCTGAGGCAGGAGGAGCTCCAGCTGGGTTCCCTGAAGGCTCTGGGCAGCCAGCTACTGCAGCTGTGGGCAGGGGAGGGGTGGTGTGGGCAGCTGGGCACAGCCTTGAGAATGGGCTTGTGGGAGGAAAGGAGAGTGGCTGGGCTGAGAACTCTTTTAGCCAAGCTCCTCCTCACAGGTCCCAGCCAGCCAGTAGCATCCCTCCTGTTCACATAGCCAGGTCTCAGGCACAGGAGGGGATGTGGTGATGGCTGACATGGCCACAGGTAGAGCTGGGACCAGGGACTACCAACTGGCCTGGAGGTCTGTCCCAGCCTTGCCAATTTGTCTTTCTCAATCACCCCTCCAGGAATTGTTGGCCGGCCGCTGGATGGGGAGGATACGGCCCCGCCGGAGCGGCTGCAGGCACTGGCTAGGTTCCAGCGGAAGATGTTGGTGCATGCACTGAGCTTCCCTGCTCTCCAGCGGCTGGTGTATTCCACCTGCTCAGTGCATCGGGAGGAGAATGAGGATGTGGTGCAGGAGGTGCTGGAACAGCAGGGAAAGGACTTCAGGTAATGCAGGAAGCTGTGACAGGGAGTCTGAAGCGGGACTGGGAAGCTCACTCCTCTGGCTCTGGCTGAAAACTGAAAGCGTCAGCTAAAGACATGATATGACAACTCCCAGCTCCAGCAGCCTTATGAACAACTTCAACAGCACTGACCTTTGCGGGGAACTGCCCTCCTTGGCCTTGACTTAACCTGAGCATTGGTGAATGCGGAAGGCCTCACAGTGGTCCCCAAACCTGGCCTCCGGAGTCCTCGTCCACATACAGAAATCTTGGGTGGGATGTGGGGAGTCTCAGTAGAGCTCTGCTTGTCTTCCCTTGCAGGCTGGTGGAAGCAGCCCCTTCTTGGCCCAGTCGGGGCTTTGCAAAGGCTAAATGCTGCCTCCGAGCATCTCCTGAGGAAACACTTACAACTGGGTTTTTTGTGGCAGTCCTGGAACGGCGACACACGGGAGCCCGTGGGACAAGGTGAAGAAGAAGTTATTTTGCTGCCCTGGGTTGGTGGTGGTGACGAGCAGGGTCCCCCAGGGCTCTGTCCTGGAGCTGATCCTGCTCAGTCTTTTCATCAGTGACCTGGAAGAAGGGGTGACCAGTCTGCTGATCAAATTCGCAGATGATACTAAAACGGGGCCAAATGGGGCCACGACTAGGAGGAGGAACTCTGGATCCAGACTATGGAAGTGGGCAGGAGACAACAGGATGGCGTGCAACGTGGATAAGTGCAAGGTCTTGCACTTGGGGCATAGGAATGGGTGTCATAAGTGCAGGTTAGGGGACAAGTGGCTGGAGAGCAGCACTTGCGAAAGGGACCTCGGGGTGCTGGTCGGCTGCAGGCTGAACATGATCCAGCAGTGTGATGCACTGGTCAAGAGGGCGAGCGCCATCCTTGGTTGCATAGCCGGAAGTGTGGCTTCTAGATCGAGAGAGGTATGCCTGCCACTCTATACGACTCTGGTGCACCCACAACTGGTGTATTGTGCTCAGTTTTGGGCCCCTCATTACAGGAAGGATATAGCCAGGTTAGATTCAGTGCAGCGTAGGGCCACAAGGATGGTGGCCAGATTGCAGAGAAAGCCATATGAAGCGAGACTGAGGGAGCTGGGTCTTTTCAGCCTGGAGAAGACTCCAAGGGGATCTGTTGGCAACATATAGGTGCATGAGGGGGTGCCACACGGAGGTGTGTAGAGACCCGTTTTCTTCTGCAGAGGAAGGCAGGACATGTTCCAATAGAGCAAAGTCAGGGAACTAAGGTTCAATTTCGATGCCAGGAAATAACTGACAGTTAGGACCTCAAGGGCATGGAATGGGCTTCCATGGGAGGTGGTTGAAGCCCCATCAGTGAAGGTGTTCAAGGACAGGCTGAACATGCACATGGTAGGCATGTCAGGAATGGAACTGGCTGGAGCTGGGGGTCAGACTAGATGGCCTGGGACGTCCCTTCTTACTCTGTTTCTGTGTTTCTAACAACTGTTTTTGCTGCAGCCCAAGAAGCTGGACTTATATAACATACTCTACACATTTATTTCTCTCAATTTTGTTCTTACCTCAGCATGCGATTTTCTTTCTTGCCCTGTTAATCAATTTTCGCTTACAAGCGGCACTTTCGACTTCTCTTTTGGCTGAGGTCAACCATGATTAACTGAAAACGTTGTAACCAAGTCAGCAGATACAGGGGTCCTGCTCTATTTTGTTTTCTATGGAGTTTTTCATTTTCAGAGTAAAACACTCCAGCCCACTATTAGTTTGCTCACACCAAATGCTGTGATGTTCCACCATCACATTTCCTGTTTTACTGTTTCCACTTTGCCTTGATCCATCCTTCTCATGTTCTACGATGCAAGCATGTGCGTTGTACAGCCTCAGACTTTTCCCTCGCCTCTGCACGTATCAGCCTGTGGACTTCCTTCTGGCTTTGTTCTAGTTGTGTCATTAGCAACAGTGCTGTTCGTACGCGGCCTTTGCTCTTTCCCCTGCAACTTCTTAGTGCCTTTCAATCTTGGGGTCTCATCTTCTGGCACTAAGAAGCAGAAGTGGTTCCCTGTAGCTAAATGCTGGAGATGGGCAACATTTGACCTACAATTCCTATCAGCCCTAGCCACCAAAACCAATGGGCCGCGTTCCTGGAAGTTGTAGGCCAAAACGTTCGGAGGGCCTGTTGATATTGATGTACTGGGAGGTCAGGAATGCTTGAAGTCATGGGAGAAACAAGAGTTGGGTGTTTCAAGAAACTTCTAGATTGTTTGCTTCTAGCCTTCTGTCACTTTGCTCTTGGCTTAGCAGTGAAAGAGAAGCAGGTGCCTCTCCTGCTCCCGCGAAGACACAGTCAGAAAGGGCTTTGGTGCAGAAGTGAAAGACATGGTGGATCTCATTCCTGGAGATTGGAAGAGTACTCAAGAACTGGAGAGATGGATATGAAAATGTGCACACATCGAAGGCATTCCCCCAGACTTCACCTGCTGGGAAATGCCCAGTTGCCCTTTGGAAATTCACACTGGGCAGAGCGCTCCACACACTCCAGGGCTTCTCCACAATGCTGCTCTTGCGTGAACGAATAAATTTATCCCTCCTTCACGTAATGCATTCTTTTGCCATGTTCTGAATGGGATCAAAGCAGGCACCATTTCCTTAGCCCGAGTCGTGACTAAGGAAACGCAGCAGCCCTCCCCCTGCAAGCAGCATCCAACCAGCATCCTGCAATGGGGGGGGGGGTATTGTGCTAAGCCTCCCTTCGCCACTGAAGATGAATAGAGCGGTTTGCTTATGGGGAAAGTTGGGGCCTTTGACCTTCCCCCTCTCCTTCCCCGTCCCACACATGACCTGGGCTTGCTTAGCCCGGAAGACTGGCTAGCTAGCAGTTAAAGGCTGGATACTTACCTGCTTGTGGAAATGTTACGGGGCAAGATGAGAGCGCCCAGCCAAGGGCATTCCAGTTTCCCTTTTTTAGTCAGTGCGGCTCCATTTTGTGCCCCCTACAAACACACCCCACACACTGCCAGATCCATCACAGTGCAAAGTCCCTTCTGCCAACATGGGGAAATAAAAGCAAGCAGCACCAAGCTGGGGTTCATGGAGGATGGGAGCTTGACAGGCAGTCCTGGAACCAGCTGGTTTTCACCTCAAGTTCCAGAAGTTGCTGCCTGCTCCTCAAAGACAACATCGTCTGGGTTCAAGCAAGTTTGTTTTTATTGGAAATCGATATAAGCAGGGAAAACGGCACATTCACACTAAACCCTCAAGAGGAATGATCCAAGTCTTCATTGCAACATTAAATAAAGTCAACCCATCCTTCATCCCACACACACTCAAAGACACCTTCCCGCTACAGAGGTGCTCTGCAAAGGCCTTTCTGTGAGCAGCTAAGCTGCTAGCCCTCCTGCAGCATCCTCCCCCACCTGTCCCAGGTGCTGCTGGTCACCTGGCAGAAACTGGGCGGCTCATGGGGGGGGGTTAGGTGCCTCCAGGCAAGGAAAAGACAACTAAAAGGTGTAACTTGGGATAATGGGAAGAAGCCCCCACTTGTCTGCTGCAGCAGGGAGGTGAAGGCCTAGCCTACTCCGTGGCCAGTCTTGGCAACAACCAGGCTGCCAAAGGCCGCCACGTTCCCACAGCCCAGCCCCAGCTGCAGAAGGGAGGCTGAGCACCTCTGTCGTGGGCAGCAAGCTGTTCAAGGTGCTCAGAAGGCTTGCCCTGGGTCAGCTCCCCACTTCCACGGTGCATCAGCCGAGACAGAAGGCCCCACACAGCACCCCTTCTAAACGTGCAAGAACCCCCGCGCAACACAGACTGGACAGAGCCACGTCCACAATACAAAACAGAAACGAGAATGGCTGGCCGGTGGCGGGAGGCAGGGCCCTGCGACCGGGCCACACGGGCCAGTCCCTAACAGCTTCACTCTCACGCCTCTATGAACCAAGCTTGAAGGAATTCCAAGGCAATTTAGCTTAAATATAAAAATAAAGTTTCACTTTGTAAAAAAATGCTTAAATATTTTTTTTTAAATTTAGAATTCGGCAGGCTCACGCACACACGCACACGCTGGTCTTGGATGTATGAAAAGGGGCTGGCCGCTGAGGGTACTGCAGGGGTGGCGGGCTGGAGGGGGACCCCCACCCTGGCCAAGCCTGCCTCCACCTGCTGCAAAGGTGGGGTGGGGGTCCGAGCAGCCCAAACAGCTGCCGCCCATCCGCTCCCCAAGCCCCACGGAGCAACGGCTCCCGGGGAGGCGGCTCTTTGCCATGCCACATGCCGTGCTCCAGCCCCCTCCACACACCCAGCCACGCAGTGACTGTCCACACCCAATTTGGTGGGGTTCATCTCCCTTGGAGACAGGCACCCCCAAAAATGTTTACAGCAAGTCCGGCATTACCAACATGCCGCCACACATACGAGTCGATTCTTCCTCCAAACTCGATTCACAGAGCAATTTAAAAAAACGCAACAAGAAAGGAGCACAAACACACTGAGCGAAACACAGACGGGCAGGCTAGGGAGCTTGAGTGAAAAAGTAGCCGTGAGCAGCAGGGCCCAGGGACGGGCTCCCCCTCGGTATCTCCACCCCAGCAGTTGCCCGGGGACTCCCACACATCACCTGGGCACTGGGCTGCCCAGGCAGGATGGAGGGATCCTGAAGACGCCCTGCCCCTCGCAGGGAAAGGCTCACAAGGGCTGGGGGGGGGGGGGGGGGGGGGGGCTGGTCCCCGGCGGGAGTGCCGTGAGCACAGCACTCCCCCGACACACCAGCAGCCCGAATTGGGGGGCAGGGGGAGTTGCTGCAGATGGTCACGGGGAGGGAAGGTAGAAGATATGTACAATTTGTTTCCAGACTCGGCCATGAACTGTTCAAGTAGAAAGGGCTTGCTTTCTCCTGCTGCCCCAGTCTGAGGAATAAAAGTCACTCGGGGATCCAAAGCAGCTTCTGGTGGCCGCCCCAGCAAGCACTGTCTGGACAGCCCCGGTGAAACCGAGCGCCACAGCTGGGCAGCCACCGCCCTGCCCAGAGCTCCACCAGGTCTCTCCCACGCTGGCCAGGCGGGGACAGAGTCCAGCCAGAGGGCTCCTGGCGGCTACTTCTTGCGGGTGTGCTGCCGCCGGGCCTGCAGCCGCTGGCGGGCCCCCATCTTGGTTCCTGCCCCGATGGAGAAGGCGGGTGCCTGTGGCCCTGGAGGAACAGAGAGCAGTGAGCCTTCTCCACCCTCTGCCGCAGGGTCGGAGCACAGCCCAGCCAGCCAGACCGGCGCCACCCACCCTCCGCCACGCTGGGCCCCCCTGCCCGAGCAAGACTGGGCAGGCCGCACGGCTGAGCCCCCCATGTTGGGGGCACCCACTCCACATTCAGAGGGGTGAGGGAGCGGCCAAAGGGCTGCCCAGCCCATCCTCACCTCCGCAGCTTCGTGCTGCCCAGAGCCCCCCACCTGCCCCCCGGCCTTCGTGCTCTTACCAAAAGAAGCCCCTGCACCTCCAAAGGCAGGGGTGACGGTTCCGAAGGAAAGGGTGCCACCCCCCCCAGTGCCCCCTCCTGCGGCAGGTGCACCCTGCCCAAATGTGGGTGTTGGAGTTCCTGAAACACAGAGGGGGTGTTAGCAGGCGAGAAGCATTCCCTGGGAGAAGACATGCCCCCCCCATGCCCAGCTCCCCCCCCCCCATTTGCTGCCTTCCTCAGCAGGGGCAGACCATGCAGCTCTGCCAGCACCGGTGCGGCAGGGGGCTTGCCCCTCCTCTGCCCAAGCCTTGGGACTCTGAGCGGTGATCAGGGGATGGCTGCGATGGGGCAGGGTTTGGGGCATGGGGACCCCGGGGGGGGGGCAACAGCAGAGCCCCATGTAAATCCACATGTGGGCTCTCCTGCCCCAGGGAAGAGGTGGTGCTCCAGCTGCAGTCCCAAGCCAGAGGTCAAAATGCCACTCGTGGCCATTCCTGGGGCACGCGGGTCCCGCAGGCCCACCCCCAAGCCACACAGTGGGGGACTCACCTCCGAAGGCCGGCTTGCTCTCTGGTGTGCCTGCAGCGCCGAAGGCAAAGGTCGTGCTCTGGTTCTGGGCCCCCAGAGGGGGCTGGCCCAAGGAAGCCCCAAAGGGGGTCACGGCCCCCACAGCGCCGCTCGGCCCAGCGCCAAAGCTGAAGCCGGCAGGGGGTGCACCCACGCCAGCAGCAGCTCCAGGGCCAAAGGCACTGCCGGCGGGGGCCGGCTGGCTTACCCCAAAAGCGAAGGGGGCTGGGCTCCCAAACGCCAGGCCCCCCCTTGTGCTGCCGCCGCCACTGCTGCTGGTCGGGGTGCCAGGGGCAAAGCCTGCTGTGGTGGCCATGGTGACGGCCCCAAAGGAGAAGGTGGGCATGGTGGCGCCGAAGGCCGGCTGGGCAGAGGTGCTTTTGGCACCAAAGGACGCCAGCGGGCTGGGCTCCCCAAACGGGGCCTGCGTGGTGCCGCCGAAGGCCGGCTGGGCTGCCGAGCCGCTCCTGAAGCTGAACGGAGTCCCGAAGAGCACTGGCCCCGCCGCTGCCGTCACTGGCTTCTGGCCCTCGGGGGTACCCACGTCGAATGCCCCCGGGGCCCCAGCTGCTGTGTAGGGAGGTGGGGGCTTGGGCAGGGCGCCGAATCCCCCACCGAGAGCAGGCGTGCTGGACCCAAACGCGGGCAGGGGCTGCGTCGTGGCGGGAGGGCCCTGGGTGGTGGACGGGGCAGCGCTGCCCCTGCCAAAGAGGCTGAAGCCCACGCCGGAGGCGGCCGGGGTGGCGCTGGCCGCGGGGTCGGCTGCGGAGGCGCTGGGCTGGCTGAAGGCGGGGCTCGCCAAGGGACCAAGGGCTGGGCTGGAGGAGGCGCTCTGCTTGCCAAACTGGAAGCCTGTGGCTGAGGCCACGCTGGCGCTGGGCGGCGGCCCGAACAGCAAGGGCTGGTGGGGGGCCGATGTGGCCGCCTCCGCCACAGCGGTGGCGGAGGCGGCGGTGGTCAGGGTGGGGGTGCTGCCCCCGGGCGCAGCAGTGGAGGTGGGCACGCCAGGCCCAAGGCTGCCGCCCAGCTGGCCCGCCGAGACAGCCGCCCCGCCAGCTGTCGTGCAGAGCGGGGCTGCAGCGGTGGCGGGGAACCCGGCAGCGCTTGTGGCGGCTGGGGCGGGCTGAACGGTCTGCTGAAAGGTGAAGGGGGATGATGGGGCCGTTGTGGCGGTGGCTGGGGGGGCCGGGCTGCCAAAGATGGGCTTGAAGGTGCTGCCAGGGGCCGTGCCAGGGGGCCCGGTGGACGGCGCAGCTGCAGAGGTGGTGGCGGCGGCAGCGGTGGCAGCACTGCCACCCTGGGAGCCAGCGAGGCCCTCGCCCTTTGCCAGGCTGCCGAAGATGGGCTTGAAGGCGGGCACCGTGCTGGGCGCAGAAGGGGCCGACGCTGCGGCACCGGCTGTGCTCATGAGCAGGCTGGCTGGGGGACTGCTGAGGATCTCGAAGAGGAGGCTGGGCCTTGGCGCAGATGAAGGCCTTGTGGGCGTCGGGCCCGCCTTGGAGGAGGCGGTGGCCGTCATGCTGCTCGCGCTGCTGGCTCCCGGGCCGGCGCTTGAGCAGGGGGCCGGAGCTGGAGAAGCGGGCAGAGCCTCGGGCACTGTGGAGGAGCTTGCTGGCAGCGAGGAAGCCACATCCAGGGGCCACGGGGAGATGGCAGGAGCACGGGAATCTGGAGAAGAGGGGGGGGTCCCTTCAGCAGCTGCAGCACAACCGACATTCCGCCTCAGTCAAAAGTCCCTCCCTTGCCGCCTCCCACTGCGCTCCGGCCCTTTGACCACAGGGGCAGGAACACCCACTTAGCTGCACCGAGAAAACTCAAATCTCTGCACATCAAAGCAGCAAAATATTCCACGTTCACCTGGGGAAGGAAGTGCCCCCCAAACACTGGACTGCAGGCCCAGGAATCCCGTCGGCCTCACTGGCATTGCTCTGTTAAGGAAACGTACAAGCTGGTCGAGTCCTAAAGTGGGGCCTTACAAATATTTTGGAATACAAGGCCTATCATTCCTGGCCAATGGCTGAGGGGAGCTGAAGTCCAAGGCACCAGGCAGACACCACAAAAACAAAGGAATCCCTGTTAGCCCTTCAGTCAAAGGAGAGCGAGGGCTTCTTTTGCCAGGCCACCTTGGCATGGCGTCCTCTCCAGACAGGGAGCGACAAGGGGCCAGAGGCACTTACACGACCAGCACGAGTCAGAATCAAACCGTCCAAACAGTCCAAAACAGCACTTTTTAAAAGCAGCATTCATCTTCCAAAAAGAGCAGAAGTGTTTATAATTGTTTGGAAAAAGGTCCGGCCTTAGACCAAAGAGGCCCCTGGAGCGGTGGGGCTTCCACAGGGACTCCACGAACACAAGGAGCATCCCTGAGCAGGCCCAGCCCTTGCATACGGGGCTGCAGCTCCAGCTCTCGGGCAGCACAGCAAGGCAACGAATGCGCTTGGGCACATGCTCTCAGGCTACCGGGCAAAGGCTGCAAAGCTGGAAACATCCGTTTTTGAGGGGAGTCATGTCTGAAGCCACGCAAATCCACGGGAATCAAGCTGCACGCAGGGCATCTGGGGAACATCTCAGGTCCCTAAATCCCCCCTGGCAGCACTGCCTACTTCCGGCCAGGCACGGGGGAGGGGTGGCTCCTGCAGGGAGCAGGAACGGCAAGGAGCCCCCCCACTCCCCTGCCTGCCCCCATCACTCACCTGCCTGCCCCACAGTGCTCGGTCCTTCCTGCATCTTCTTCAGGCTCTCCAGAAGTGGGCTGCCTCCTGCAGGCTGTGTGCTCAGGACGGGGGAGGGCCTGGCAGGCATCAGTGCGAAGGACGACGTGGCGGATGTCGAGCTGGTCTCAGGAGGGGCACTCACAGCAGGCTCTGCGGGGCAGGAGCAACAGGCCGGCAAGCCATCAGAGCTCCCTGGAGAGGCCCAGGCCCAACACCCGATGCGGCCCACTGGCACACGAGCCGAGGCACGCGCCTGCTGCAGGCAACGGCCACGAATGGCCCTCCCCTCAACCACCCTCGTCACCCGATGGGGCAGGCAAAAACCTGCAGCCAGTCCCTCCGAGAGGGCTCTCCTACCAGTGTCCTCCTCCAAGACTTTGCTGAACCACTGCAGCGCAGCCTTCTTTTCGGCATCCAAGTCCTCTGAGGTAACCGAATAGCTTAGCTGAGGAGGGGGAGGCTGCCAAGATAGTGACAGATATTGCATCAGTGCAGAGGCGAGCAGGCAGCCCCGTCAGGGAGAGCCACCAGCCCTGGGGGCCGAGGGACCCTTGCCTCAGACAGGGAGGGTGAAACCAAATCCCGGCCTGGAGCGATCCTGGCTGTCGGGCCGGCAGTCGAAAGCGAGCGCTGTGCTGCCGGCTCGCCTTCTCCGTGCGTGTGGCTCTAGCCTGACCGCTCGCCCGGCCCAAGCACTTCCCTGGGGGAGGCCCTTCCACAAGCCACGCAGCCCATCTGTGCTGAGGCCCCGAGGGAGCCCACTCACCCCGGGAAGGAGTGGGGCAGCACAGCATGGAAGAGGCACACGTACCAAGCTGAAGCGGTCGTCGTGGTGGGTCGAGAGCAGCTGGATTCTCCGCTTGCGTGTGCTGCCGCCGCTGCCCAGTGAGCACAGCGGGCCCGGAGAGCTGCGGCTGCTCTGTGGCGGCGCTTCTTCAGCTGGAGGGGGAGGCCAGAGTTGCAAAGTCCGACTAGCCCTTTTTTTACCCTCTAAATGTTTGGGCAGGTAACCCCCACTGCTCCTCACCTCTGGTTATGCTGGTTGGAGCTAGGAAGAATTCTAAGCTCACCACTGCTGATTCCAGGAAACCCAAGAACCCCCACCAAAGTCGACACGAGCACAATCTTGCAAAGCAAGCGCGATGGGCTGAAAGCGTGGCAGTGCTGCCTGCGCGCGGATGCCAGGAGCCCCACTTCCTCCGAGGAAACCAGCCCGGCTTGCAAGGCTCCCTCAGCGCAGCTCCCCAGCAAACCCAGAGGAGTAACAGGGAGACCTCGCCGATGAGCAGAAACCCTGAACACCGACCAACCCTATTTCTACCCTTGAGGCCCTCAGTCACGCTGTGGTTTGCAAGAAGTAGTGGGAAAGGGGGCTGGGCGGGCTCCTTCTTCTGAGGGTTCCTTACCCACCCTGTGGAGAAACGCACGTTTCTTCCCTCTTCACCCACAATGAGGTCAGGCGTTTCTAACCAGTCTCTTTTTTGTTTCATGTTGTTATGTGGCTACTGCAGGTTCACCTCACATCCAGGCTGGCATTTGCCCCTCCTTTGGGCCATCTGTGCACTCACCCTTCTCCGCCTGTACTTCTTTGTCCGCTTTCACAGGTGTCGAAGTCCTGGACCGGCGAGATTCCTCTTCCCTGGAGACACAGAAGAACGCCATTGAGACACAGATGGAGGCTCTCCTTGCCTCTTCCAAAGCTCGGGGACAGAAAGATGGACGGTCAAACACTTGCTATGCACTTTGTGGTGTTCCATTGCATCCAGGCAAACGCCCCTTTCCACAGAAACCCCAAAATTTAACAGGTTCTCGCCTGTTAAAATTCAGGTAGCATGAAAGCGAGGCTTTTTGCCATCCAAGGCAAAATGGTCTGACTCGGCTCTACCAATGAGTCAGGCACTGAAGCATCATGGGAGTCTTCATGGAAACCAGTCACGGAGGCCTAGAAGCCCAGGAGCGGAGCCCACCAAAAAATAGTCCCCACACAAGCAGCAGGGCAGGAGGCAGCAGCACTCACGTGAGGCTGGAGCTGGGGTGCCTTGCCTTCTTGCTCGGCCTCTCAGGTGTCTGAGGACAGGAGGATGCGGGACTAGACAGAGGAGAGGCGCCTGGACCGCTTCTCTTCCAGAGCTGCGGAAGGAGAGAGCACAACACGTAACGTCAAAAATTGCCCTGGTATGTTCTGTGGAGCTAAACATTGACAAATCTTGTTTATACTGGCCATCTGCAAAGGAGAACAGAAATTCACCATCATGGTGAAATCAACTTGCTTATACTACAGTAAGAGAAAGGGAAAACTTGTAATGTTCATTGGAACCTTCTCTTCCTGGAAAGTGGCAAGGTTAAACCTTATTTAACAAGACGTGGAACATGTTTTAACACTGGAAGAGCTGAGCTCTGTTTGCAGTTCTAAACACACACACAAGCCAATCGTGCACAATATTTGCAGGTCACCTGATCAACGCCACCCCTATAAAGGTGGGGCACAGCCAGTGGTTCCCATACAGCTTCTGCACTCCTGTGACTGCCCAGCCAACAAGAGTCTGCTTTGGAGACAAAGGACTTCAAGGGAGAACTTTCCTTGGTGGAAGGTCAGCCTCCCAGAGACTTACTACCTGACAGCATACCTGAGAAAGGCCTCGAGTGGAGCTGTAGGAGCTGGCGATGGCATTACGAACAGTACTGGGGATCCCGCCCACGGACAAGCTGTTCACAGAGCTAATGGAGGAGGTACGTGACCTCTTGGAGGAGCAGTCTTCACGGCAGTGGGAAGGAAGGAGGCCACGCTTCAGGGAGCTGGGCCTACGCACAGGCAAAGGTCATGTTACAAGCCTCCCGAGAGACCCAGGTTTTCCAAGGTGCCATGAAGGAAATGATGTTGGTACCTTTTGTTTACGCAGGCGGAAGCGCCCCAGATTACAGAGCCTGAGCTCATGCTGCTGAATGCAGCGCTCCCTCCACCACTTTCTGCACAGCCCCGGTTCAAACGGGCGCCGGCAGGCCCACATCCAGCGGGATCAGGGGGGTGCATTGGGAAGGAAATCCAGCAAACCAGATTCTGCTTTTTGCCGTGATTCAAGTGACGGGGTCATTCAGACCTTAGCAGCAGCAGCAGCAGCAGTGGGGGAGCAGGTATTCAAGACTGTGTGTCAAATCCCACCTCACACAAAACAACGAGTCAGTGCTGCGATGGCAAAGCTTCTTCCTGGGAAAAACTTACTTGGGAATGAGAGACGCTGGTGCTCCGTTAGCCAGCAGGGGCTCAAATGCAGAATGGCCACTCCCACTGCTATCATGGCGCCTGCAGAGACAGAGGCATCGGCGCTTAAGAAGCCCTGTGCCGCACAGCTGCACCTCGAGTGCCTGGCTTCTGTCTCCACCTGGACTTGCTCGCTCCCTCCCCACTGCTGCAGCCCCCCGGGAGACGGCAACCCTTACCTCCTCTTACTTTCCTGGGCAGCGGCATTGCTCCGGCCCTCCGCGTCCTCCTCCACGGCCCTCTTTCGGTTCTCCCGGAGAGCACTCAGGACAGCCTCTTTTGCACATGGGTCTACAGTGCTGTTGGGCGTTGGCGAGAAAGCCACAGGAGAAACCATTTGCTCCAATCTGTCAGATGAAATTGGAGTAGTCGGGGGTAAGAGTTGCCCTTCACAGCCCTGCAACAGCGTACCCTTAGGGGCCACACTGCCCCACCCCGAGTCCCCACCCACGGAGATCACACGGGCTGCCCGCCCGTATAAGCGTCAGTGCTCCCTTGTGGCGTCACCAAGCAGTGCTGCTGAACAAGCAGTCATTCCCAGGCCATGCACAGCGAGGGGCAAGGGGGGCAGAGCCACCTTCCCTGCAGCATTCACTGTGCATCACCAGCAGTTCATCGGGGGAAAGCTGCTCTTCTTCTACTACTTTTATGCCTTCCTTCACTGGGAAGCGTCTCCCCACTGCATCCTCCTGACACGAACTGCCCGAGAGCGCCTCAGCTAGGAGGGATTCCAGGTACAGACTCACAGGGGGGAGCGGCCAAAGGTGCTGTCTGGCCGTGCAATCTTCACCATCACAGGACTCTGGACCATGCCGGAGTTGTGAGCTGACAGTCTGTTCTTCCGCCGATAGCCATCCCAGCAAATCGAAGGCAATGTCCCCAGGGAAGTATACTGGGCCTGATGAATGGGATAGCGCCGTCGAGGGGTCAGCACAAAACGACTGGATGAAGCTAGGTGTTCCCTTAAATGAGTGAGAGAGAGAGAGAGAGAGAGAGAGAGAGAGAGAGCACAGAGCATGCAGTCAGGCGAGCAGTGGCCAAGCTGCAGGGCTCTTCTTCCCAACACCGCAAGTTAGAAAGGGCATCTCAAACGAGAGGAGCGCGTTTCCTTCCTAGCCATCACAGAGTTTCTTTTGCAACCTTAACTTATTCTGCGATGTCTGAATAAGTATCCACATGCATCTACACAGGAAATGGCTGGTCTCTTGCTGACCCCTGGGCCAGAGTCCAGATTCTGATCCCACTGTGTGCTGCAGGGCCAGAAAGTGCAAGTCCAACTCCCTACAGTGCTTCCTATCATTATTTTGACTTCCACGCTGCCCCATAGACAAAGCTCTCTACGGTCATGCTACATTTATATCCTGCTTTTTTCCTCTTGTGAGGAACGCAAAATGGCTTACATTTATTTGTTCGCTTGTTCATTTCAAACTTTTATATACCGTCCACTACCAAGGTCTCGGGACAGTCTTACAATAAGACAGAGTGGAGCACAACATATACAATAAAATCCCACATTAAAACCAGACTCAAACCTTAAAATAACTACTCCATTTCATTCTGACAGCAACATCCCTGTGAGGTAGGTGGGGCCAAGAGTGAGTGACAGGCGCAAAGACACAAAGGGAGCTTGATGGCTAAGCGGGGACTATAACCTGTATTTCCAGTATAGGGGACTATAATCTGTATTCTCACCAACATACCACATCATATAGCAAATTAATTAATTAATTAATTAATTAATTAATTTAAGACATTTGTATGCCATCCTTTGCAAAAGCCTCAGGACGGCTTACCTGAAGCCTCAACAAATTGGTTACAAACTATAAATGTTCCTCTCCATGGAAATCTTTAGTAAACATAGAAACAGAGCGAGTCAGAAGGGGCCTCCCAGGCCATCTAGTCTGACCTCTGGCACCAGCCGGCTCCGCTCACGACATGCCACCATGTGCATGTCTAGCCTATCCTTGAACACCCGCACCGATGGGGCCTCAGCCACCTCCCGGGGAAGCCCATTCCACACCCTTGGGGTCCCGACTGTCAGGAAGTGCTTCCTGGCATCCAAATGGGACCTTGGCTCCCTGAGCTTTGCTCCGTTGGAGCGTGTCCTGCCTTCCTCTGCAGGGGAGAACAGGTCTCTGCCCATCTCCATGTGACACCCCCTCACATACCTGCATGTCGCCAACATAAAAGGCAAAAGATTTATATGATCTGAAGAGAAACCTGAGTAAGAGTCCACATCCTCCCTGTTTAGTGTGCAACCTTCTGGCTAACAAAAATAATCACACCATTCTGGCTAACAAAAATAATTCAAGGCAGCTGCTCATCTAGCAAATTTAAAGTATGATGACAAATCAGTCAAGAACCCCACCTGCAGGGGGACAAAAAGCCTACTCTCACATCTACCCACTTCCAACCAAAGCACCTCCCTTACAAAGAAATTGAACAAAGCCGTGAAAGATGAGTCAAGGCAGCAAAGGTGAACCAAGGCAGCTGTCAACCTTGACTGACCAGCAGGCCAAGATGACTGTGTGAAGGGGTGGGCTTTCCACATTGTGGCGTGCCCCACAACAGTCTGGCAGGCCTGAATGCCCTCTGCTTTTACACAATCAACTATGAGGGGGCAGCCAGTCTAGAGCAACCTTCCCCAACATGAGAGGCTTCAGACTCTCATCAGGCCCCACCAGCATGGTCAGTGCTCAGGAATGCTGGGAGCTGAGAGTCCAAACCTCTGGATGACACAAGACCAGGGAGCGCTGGCCTGCAGTCTTTTCCATTTACTTCTCCATCACTATCAAGGGAGCATGTGCAGAGTGCCTTTGTGCATGGGGGGGTGTTAGAGCAAGCGCTTCTCCCATGGTGGGGTCTGTGGATCTGCTCGATTGCCTCTATCAAGGAGACAGCCCTCCAGGTGTTAGCCAGTGGCAAGTGCCGACAGGAGCTGCATCTGAATTCCTGTGGCATCACTAGTTGTCCACTCTGAAGTTAGCAAACCTAATCATGTAAAGAGTGCATACAGAGTACCCACAGGATGGACATCCCTCTCCTCTTTCAGCCAGAGGAATGTCTCCACAGCAGGCCCTCCTCCATCTCCCCCAAAGATCATGTGGGGCAGAGCAATTAAGAAGTACTTCTCTTTCCTAACTTCCCTCCCCACAGGGAGGAAGGTGAAGACTTCACAAGCCAGTCTCCCCCACGTTGTGTTGGCCCGGCAACTGGAGGGCCAGGGCTGTGCTAGGCCCACTTACATCCAAAGGGGAATGTGCACACCGAGGCAGGATTGGAATACAAAGGAGCAGCACAGGAGGGGGCGCTGAGCAACACTGGCAGCTGCAGGCCTGAGCACCTGAGGGGCGTCTGCACGGACAGACACGAGAAGAAAACTTATCTCCTGACCCAGGGGGTGGGGCTGACCTAGTTCCTGGGCATGTGCAGCTCACGAACGGGAACAGGAGGAATGGGCAAGAACCGTGGCGAGCGCAGTCCCGCCGCACACGAGAAGGGGCGGGAAGGCTCGTTTCCCTCCGAGCGCCAATGGGCGCAGCCGCAGCCTCTGCCCCTGAACGGAAAGGGGGTGTGCGGGAGGCGGGCATCCCCGGAGCCCGTGCGAACCGCGAGGCGACGGGGCCGGACGCGCGCGCGAGGGGGCGCCGCTCTCTTACCCGCAGCCCCGGCGCCACCGCGTGCTGTTGCCAGGCCAGGGGGCGGCCATGGCGGGCGCGGCGGGGCCCCCGTTGGCCAAGGCGCCCTTGTGAGAGGCCGCGCGGCGCTCCTGCCCCGCCGCCGGGGCCAGGGAGGAAGCGGAAGCCGCCGCCCAGGCCGCTCCGCCCGCCGCGGCCGCGGCCAGCGAGAACGCCGCTCCGGACAGGCCGAGCAGCAGCAGCAGCAGCAGCAGCATCGCCGCGGCCGCGCCGGGCAGCGCCCAGGCCGCGCCGTCGTC